AAATTACACAATGATGACACATTCCATACATTATGTTTAATTAAGGTAAAAATAAATAAATAAATTATAGGGTAACAATTGTTGTATCTAACTTACGTTAATTTTTTAACATTTGTATTACTCAAGTAACATGGATCTATATTGTTAGAAATTTAGTGTAACTGCTAATATGTTGGAAACATACAAGGTTGCACACTTGAAATAGATTGAAAATGGTATTCAATTATAAGATGAATTCAATTGGGAATCCTATAGACTAGGACTCTTAAGCAAGCTTAATCATTGTTTGTTTCATTAATTCATATGGATATTGTATGTGCATTATAACTTTGCAGTATTCTTAATCGTTAGACTATAAGATAATTACTCCACCCCTTCAGGTTATATCCCTAACTCATCTTATGGCTATTACATGGATTCAATGAGTATTTTAATTTTATTTTTATTTTTTTGCCTTACATTCATTGGTCTTTTACTCTATATATATGGCATCACTAACCATTTATGATGGTCTTGATGTGTTTTAAAAGTTGTTTTTATGTCTATATTTATGTTTAATTACCAATATTTAATGATAACCAATCCTGGAATTTAATTTGAAGGTGTTAGCAAAAAGAACTCGTCAAGCAATTCATTAATTATCGTATTAACAAACTATATATCTTTCACTATTATTGTATTTAATACTATATAATTGCCACAAAATGCTAATTATTATATTTTTTATTAACTATCAAAACAAGTGGTAAGAGTGGAGTAATAATAGGTTGAATATATAGCTTATTCCTTAAGCATTTTCTATGTCATTTTCTTAATTTGCTCCATGTGAAATAAAGGTATCAGTGAGGTCTCACTTTCATTGGATTTGTACCCCTCTACTGAACAACGACACAATTTTGATTTGTCCCTATTAGGTGACAACCTTATAGGTTTTTGATAATGAACATACATATAAAGTCTCATCTTCACTAAGATTGTGCCCTTTAATCAAAGAATGACATGATTATGGTCCTTGTTAGGTGACAACCATGTAGGTTTTTACAACATATATAGCCTTATAGGTGCAAAGTGGTAATGCAAACTTTATCATTATATTAGTTAATTAGAAGATCAAACAATATGTTTCTGAGGAGTTTAATATTTTGAAGATGTATATTTCAGAAATTTTCAAAGTTGTTTATAACCTTTTAATACGATGAAGTCGATCTTGAATAGAAAATTGTCTTATCGTTCAGAGATTAAGGCTGTCAAAATGAAATTGTTGGACAACCTTATAGGCAGATTTCTATTTGGTGACAACCTCATAGGTTTCTCCAGCATAGCCTTATAGGTGTGGAGTAATCTCTCACAATGAAGATAACTATTAAGTCTCAATTTCAATGGAATTGTGCCCCTTATCAGAGAATTACATTATTATAATGGTCCTTGTTTGGTGACAAACCTATAGAATTTTGAAACATATAGCCATATAGGTGCAAAGTAGTAATGTAGACTTTATTATTATATTGGTTAGAAGGTTCAACTATAAGTTTTGTGAAACTTTAATCTATTAAATAGATTTTTTAAAAGCATTGCGTAAGTTGTTTATATATAACTTTTTGATATGATGAAGTCGATCTTGAATAATAGAGCCAAAATGGACTATTTTGAATAACTTAAACATGATAAAATTAAGTTACGAAAATTTTGGTTTGATCTTAAATTTTTTTCTAAAATTGATTCACAAAACTTTTAATATGTTGAAGATATATATTTTTGAAATCGCATAAATTATTTATAACAACCTTTTAATACTATGAAGTCGATCTTGAATAGCAGGCTTCACCTTAGCATTAAGCAAAAATTAACAGTATCAAAATGGACTAATTTCGATAACCTAATATATGATGTAGACTAAGTTATGAAAATTTAGGCTTGATATTAATTTGGCCTAATTCAATCTCATTCTAAAATCGATCCACTTGTGTGGGTTAAGTTTATATTGAGTTAAGCTATCTAGTTGAATTTTTTAAAATTATTGTTTTATTAACTTTTAAATTATTTATTTAGTGCTCATTTGGATAGACTTTAGAATTGATTTTGAATCATATCCACACAAGTCAAAATTTTCTTAAAATTAATTCTACCAAATTTAATTATTTTAAAATTAATTTTACCGTAATTACTTCTACTAAAACATAAAACAAATACATTTGTGAAATATTTATCAAAGCTGTAAATATATTAATTTTTTAATATAAATGCATAATATGTTAACGTAGGAATCCAATTATGCTAAAATATGATAGCAGGTTAATAATTTAATATAAATATTATACAAAAGTCTGTGTTGGTATTACCTACTTTAATATTATATATGTGTCAATATTTGTTTTATTTTTATAAATTACTTTCTTTTTTATTATATTGTATGACTTATTTTACATTTATAATTAAATTTTAATTTGTTTAAAATTATTTATTTAATTATTTTATTAAATATAATAAATATCTATTATTAATCATATAAAAATTTAGTTTTTAAATTTAACGTATTTCTAAAAATAAATAATAATAATGTAATTTTTTTTATTTAAAAATATATTTAATTTAATAATACACCGCATGATAAATGCACTAGTTTGTTAATAATATTTATCTTACATCTCATAATAAATAATAAAGAACATTAGATAACTGAAAGAAAGAAAGACAAAGAGAGAGATACCAGAGATGTAATAAATTATTTAATTAAAAAAATAAGAGACAAATAGATAAAAGGAGAATGTAAAAACAGAAAAGAGAAATAATATGAAAAAAAAATTATTATCTATCTCTATGTATCAAATTTAACTATTCGTTTTTAAAGGAAGCATTTTTAGAAGCTACATTAAATAAAAAAAATTAAGAACTATTTTTTTTTCATTGCTTCATGTGGTTGCTTCGACTACATTGAGTGTTTTATTCTTTATTTTAATTTTAATTTTAATTTTTGAAATTTTTTATAATGCATTTCTTAATTGTAATTTTTATTTAGTATAATTTTAATATAATAAAATATTCATTGTTAAAAGTAAAAATAATTTTTAATTTAAAAAACTATTAAATTTAAAATAATGATACAAAATATTTTAAATTTTGCATTAAAAAATTATTTTGATGGGTGCAAAATTTTGTAATTTATACAAATTGAAAAATAGAAGATAAGGTAAGATGAAAAGTGGTTTCAATTGAAGCACTAATGAAGGGGAAAAGGAGGAGAAGAGGACAAATATTGAGCTTAAGTGTTTCCCTCCAAACTGCAAATAAGATGGGCTCTGTACCACATGTGTTGGACAAAATGTGCACATGAATAATTAGACAAATTAAAATAAATAAATCATAGTCTTTTTTGTTCTTCATAATAATCATCTAAAGTGGTGTTTGGTTACAGTTCAAAGAGAAAAATGAAGAGTACTCTAAGGTGGAGGGCAAGTGGAAATGCAATGCCACTGTTCCAATTTTGTTGTCATCTCAGAAGTAGACAGAAGCAATAATAGATGGATTTGTGTGTGCAGTTAGAAACAGGGACCCCAATACCCTTCTTTTCTACATTATTCTCTATTGCCAATTATTGATAGGATAATTTTTTAATATTATATGTATTTTTAAGTGATCTTTTTAATTAAAATTAAAATTTTATTTTAATATATGTGTTAATATCTAATGTCAATTTTTATTATATAAATTAATAAAGTAAAAATTTAATTTTAATTAAAAAATTATACTGACATCACTTATAAAGCTACACTTAAATTTTATATTTGTTGTTGTGCTTCTTTTTGGTGCTTTATCTGTACTTTGCTTAGGCTTTGTGCATGCATTTAACTTGATTGTATTCTAGCTCATTTTTTTATCTATTTATCGTACATGGAAAAAGGGAAGTGTATTTTTCTACCCATTTTCATTGCCACTGTCACAACCTCCTCCACTACTTATCACTCTGTTGTGGGTGCATTGTGCCATGAAAAACATTATTTAGATGAGGAATGCTCTCTTTAACATCTTCTTATATGGTAAAATCTTATGATGGTCCTATAAAAGTTCACTCCTTTTAGTGGAATCATTCTTTTATTTCATCCGCTGATAGTGTGTTAAAAAAATGTTAAAAAGTGTTTGCTAAGTGCTAATCATTCTTTCCAACAAAACACACGCTATTGATATATAATTGGATCGTTTAAGCATATTAATTTGAGTTTGATTTGTAGTGGTATATGTGAATACACCTATAGACACTTTATATCCCGTAAGTAATTAAACTGTGGTTGAATAGACCAAAATAAATGCTAACAATTCTCATTAGAACTATAGGAATGCGAGAGATTAGGATAAAATATTTTTTTTCTGCATAGTTCAAATAGAATATCATTTCATGAGCTCTATTATTGTAAAAGAAAATAGAGAATAAGAACAAGAACAGGATGCCAATAGAATTTCATTACAGTGGGTTAGGCCTAGTGTTAAAATGGTATCAAATGATGTTTTTCTGTTTTTGGGTGATCAGTTTTTTGGCCTTTTATGGAAGGGATCAGTACCAAAGTCAGGTAGAAATCCCTTTTGCTCTTCTCTTTCTATGAATGCCTTTATGAAGAAGTAATTACAAAAGAGTAATCATACATATACATTAAATTCTCACAATAACTTTTATAATTCTTTTGTTTTTCCTTATTTCTCTATTACATTATCTATCTTATCATATACTTCCCTCACATTCCCTCAATCTCTCTTAAATTATAAGAAATTTTGTAAGATTTTATTATATAAGGAGTATTTCTCGTTATAAAAGGAAAAGCATTTTTTCTCTTTCTCAATCACTATTATTACTAATACAACCCGAATAAACAAAAAAAAAAAGATGGGGTATTAATAATACAACCTGAAGAAACCAAACAAAAGGGAGGGGAAGGGGAAATTTTATGCTATAGTACAATCCAATAAATTAAGGTAAAAAAAATGGAGGACCAAAAAAAAACTCTGGTTAACTATTCCTGAGTGTGATTGGTACTGTGTATGATGAGTGGATCTGTTTCAAGTGAAGATGTCTTGGTGAGCTCATCACCACCATTAATAACTATCTCTTCAAGACAAGCATGAGCATTCTTGTTCATGTTAGCCTCTACTTTGGTGAATGCAGGTAATTTAGAGTTAGAATCAATAGGAACAGAGCAAGAAGTGGCAGCTATTGTTGAAGTGTGTGTGAGTTCTTTAGCTCTTGCCACTTGCACATTCCAATCTGTTTTGCAAAGAACAAAGAGCATGAGCCCAGCACAGGAGGCTTGGGCTGCAAGCAACCCAAGCCACAGCCCAGCAAAGCCCATTTTGGCCACAAAGCCCAGAAGGATAGCCACTGGCATACCCACCAAGTAAAATGAGCCCAAATTGATGTTGGCACCAATGGTGGGTCTTGCACTGCCCCTTAGAACCCCACAACCTGTGGTTTGTGGACAGTTCCCAAGCTCACAAAGCCCAGCAATTGGTAACACTATTGATGTGAGTTCCAAAATCTCATGGTCATTGGTGAAGAACCTGCCCCATTGGTGCCTCATCAAAGTGGTGAACAACATGGCTCCAAGGCCTAAACCCACAGCACAAAAAAGTGACACTATCATAGAAATTCTTGCTCTTCCAGGGTTGTTTGCACCTAACTCATTCCCAACTCTTGTGGAAACACCAAGGCTTAGTGATGATGGGAACACATAGACCAAAGATGTTGTTTGGATAAGGATTCCCATTGAAGCAATGGTTGCTTTTGGATTAACCAAAATGCCACACAACATTATCATGAACTCATACCACCACCACTCAAGGCACACTGAAACACAAGTTGGAATTGCAAGTGATAGCAATGAAGACCACCCTTTAATGCAATCCACACTTGGAGGAACCCATGAGTCCTTGTATGCACCAGAAAAGTAAACAAATGAGGAGAGGAATAGAATAAGGTTGAGATTTGTCAACACCATTGCTGTGGCAACTCCTGCAATACCCATCTTTAGATGAACCACTAGGAGAAAATTCAAAGGCACGTGAAGCAAAATTGAGATAGCGGAGCAATATGTTAATGGCAATGTGATGCTTTGCGTCCTGAGGTAGATTCTTAAAGGGTGAAGAAGTGAGAGTAAGAAAAGGTCAGGAATAGAGAAAGTAATGAAAGTTTGTGCCATTGATGCTATTTCATGGTCTTGACCTGACCACAAGAGAATTCTCTTCATGTTGAGCCACATGAATGAGATAGGAATAGATGTTGATAGAAGGAGAAGAACCGTTCTTTGAAGTGTCAAGCCAAGTATCTTCCATTGCTTTGCTCCATAAGCTTGTCCACAAATAGGTTCCATTCCCATGGCTAAACCAGAGATCACAGAGTAGCCAGTGATGTTGGCAAAACCAATGGAGAGAGACCCTCCTGCTAGTTCCATCTCACCAAGGTAACCAAGGAAAATCATAGAGATCATAGCTCTTGAATATAAGAGTAAACCAGTTATGGCTGTTGGGCATGATATCTTCCCTATTGCTTTGATTTCTGCAAAGGCCTGAATGAAAGAGAAAAGACAAATAGTTTATATCAATGTGTGTCTAAATTCTAATCATAAAGACATGATAAACTCACATTGTTATTTGTTTTTTTGGTGTCACTATAGAGGGGATAGTAACTTGTGAGATACCTTGTTCAATTCACTTTTACATAAAAAGAAAAAAAATGTATAGTACATGCTTTTACATATTAACTAGATATCGTTTCATAATTACCTCATTAAGAGTTGGCCATCTGTGCAATTCATCTTGAACTTGATCATCATGAGTAGGATACACAACTTTGTGATGGGGAGTTATGAGGTTGGTTTTTGTGGGACACAAAAATGGGGATGGTGAAGATGGTTTGGGATTACACATGGCTAGATATAAACTATTAATAAGGATATAAAAAGAAGAGTTATGAGATTATGGGAGTGTAATTATATAACAAAGGTAGGAAAATATATAGAGTGTGTGTGCTTTGTTAGAGGGAGAGGAACAAGGTTTTGTGTGTGGGGAGAATGGGATGAAGGGTAGGGGGATTTTATGCATGAAAGACTAGGGCCCCTTTTGAAACGTGTCTTAAATTGAAGCATGTGCCATTATTTATATTATATCTACAAGAAAGGGTCAAATTTTTTTTATTTATTTTGAAGAAAAATGTCAAAGAAAGATAAAACTTGAACAAAGAGGTGCCAGTGCCGGTAACCGACCTTGTTCACTTTCTATCCCTATGTAAGTGTTAGTGATATGTTAATTAATTCAGTTTTATTGACTTTATTTTTATAAGTTAAGTTTAAGTAATTAACAATAGTAAACTTTTATGTAAAAAATTATTTACTAATAATTTACCTTCAACTTTAAAGACTAAGATTAATAAAATTGTAAATAATTTTGTTTATTAAAAAGTATAAAACGGTAGAGTATGGCATCTGAAGAATTATGGACTGAAAAAGTTATGTTCAGCTTTGAGTGTGGACTGGAAATAAGTCCAAAGGTATCTTTATGATGGTGAAAATCCAAAGAGGAAAAAAAAGAATAAATGAATGAATACCTTTATTCTCTTTAATGAATATTTTTTAGCCGTCAAAACGACGACAAGTTTAGCTCGATTGTGATGGCACTAAATAGTGGTTATATGTAGCTTGTTTGTTAATGGAAATAGATAATCTTTTCAAACACCATGTTTTGGGTTGTTCTGAATGGAAAATAAAAAATTTTATCCTCAACATGGGAATGATAAGTGGAAGTGATGAAAATGGTGAGAAAGAACTAATTTAGTATAGCCAAGAAAACTGGAAGAAAGGGAAGAACAATGGGTCCATAAAAATATTCTTTTTAAGTTTATTTATGTTATTTCATGTTACAAATAACTTCATTTTAAGTAATTAACAAAATTTTATCTATAAAGATTAAATAAAAAAGTTAGCATAATATTTTATTTCTTTTTTATATAAAATTATTTTAATTAAATAAATTCAGAAGAAAATTTTAAAAGTGGTTAACCAAATTAATTATAATATTATAAATTTATCTTCAATTAAAGTCAATTTCTATTATTATATTAATTATTAAAAAATTTAAAAGTTCAATAATAAAGGACAAACATATTAAAAAATATCGATAAATGCTCTTAAAATTTTGTAAAGAGTCGTATATTAAAGACCACTAAAAATCTCTAAATGGTTCTTATAAAAAGAAAATCAAGAAATAATTTACTAACAATTTATTAATTTTAGCTTTTAAATTTGAGTTTAAACACCTAAATATATATATTTTTTATTAAAAAATATTTTTTACATTAGATATACAAAAAAAATATAATAAATGCTTTTCAATAAAATATTGTTATTATTAAATGTTTAGATACAATTCTCAAAATATAGCAAAAAATAATAAATTAAAATAATAGAAAAAATATTAATATCATACAATATATAATACTCATATTTTTTACTAACATAATTATCTATTAAATAAAAGTTACTTTCTTTCTCTTTACAATTTTTTTTTATATTTCTTCATATCAAACAATCTAAAATACCTTCAATTTTGCACTATTTTCTTTCTATTTAAATTTTTTCTCCTTTTTTTTTGTTTGTATTATCTCTTAAACCAAACAGAATATTACATATGAAATAAACCCTTTTGTTATAGTACTAGTTTATTTCTTTTTTTGGATACTCTCTTACTATTATTTGCCTCTAAAAATCTATTGATGGTTTTACCTAGTTATTTTATTGGTTTCCACTGCCTTCAATGATATAATCACTTGTCATTTGGTACACTCTTTATCAAGTCTTTTATACATTTTCTTTCCACATATTCAAACTATCTAAATTGCACTTCTATACCATATTTTTCAATAATAAAGTATTATTCAAAATTTCTCTCCAATGTCAAATCATCTAACCCTACCCCCCCCCCCCCCGGGGGATGTGCCTCTACATTCCATCCACCTCACAGTGCCACTTGACCTTTTGCTTAATATCACCATCTTATTCTTTTGTTGTTTAGTGTGTTAGATTCAAGATATATTGTTAAATCATACCAATTTAAATGAGGTATGATCTCTAAATTAGGACTAATGCTCCTCATGATTAACTTACACATAATATACTTTTGCCTTATTTCTACCTTAACGAAAGTATGAGCTTTTAATGTTTGTCTCTGATTTCTAGCTTCTCATTTATTTTGTCGCTCAACTCTTCAACTAAAACCATATTATTCACACACATGCTTGGTAAAACCATCTATGATCAACAAGGTAAAAAGGTAAGGAGTTCAGAGTTTATCCTGATCAATGCAGACGAAAAGTTATAGGAAAAAATGGTTATTGCTTCACCTTGTACTCTCATACAAATTATGACCCTACCGTAAGATATATGAGAACATGTCTTTGATTGTCCCAATATAGACAATACACACTTCAGTTTTTTAGGGCCATATGCGAAACTTCTCAAACTACTTTTTTTTATACTTTTTTCAAATCAATAAAGACCATGTGCATGTCTTTTCGATTCCTCTTATATGACTGTTAACTGTGAAAACAAATATTTATTGCTTTCATGATTTATATCTCTGATATAAAACTAAAGTAACTTCTATTAGAAAACGAGACCATGTTAATGGACCCAAGTTTGGGGTCCCCGTCAAATTCTTAAAAAGAAATTGTTAAAAATAATATGCCAAGGGAATACATATTTAATATAGTTCAACACTTTTTGCCTTGTAATTTTTATTAAAAAAATTACAAACTCTCCTTTACAATTGTTTCACAAGTGAAATTATAAATCATTTTTTATAATTTATAATTAAATAAAATTGTAAAGTTTACCAACCAAGTTTTTAATACATTTAAGAGTACAGATTGTGATAAGAAATGTCATAATAAATTCTCATACTTATAATACTTCTTTACCTCTTTTCTTAAAATTTTTCGAATGAATGATGTCCAGTTTAGTCTTAAAATTCTTGTACTAGATTTAAAAACTTCATATACTCCAAATACACAACATGGTTTGTTTTTGTTTTCGACAGTAGCTTATGATATGGAAGGCAAGATGTTTTGGTTTGCATGTTCTTTTAAGGCAGCCAAGCCATGCATGTTCCATTCTTTCCCAACAGATGTCATAAAACCCCATTCCGAACACAACTCTTGCTGTCTAGTGTCGATGTATGGATATATAGAACCACATCTGAAACACCCAAAAGCTAAATAAAACATTCCCTTGATGACCCTCATTCTAGAGATGGCAAATTTTCACTAACATCCAAGTTTAGGCCCCACAGTTATATGCCTCTTCCTCTAATTAATGCTCTTCATATTATTGCTTGTTGAATGTTCAATCACGAGCAGGCACAATGGTTGGGGCATGTTAAATTGTGCACTTACAAGCATTGCAATTTTAGTAATATATTGGTGCTAACCAATAGAGGGGAAATCAAATCTTTAATAGGATTTCTAATCAATATACTATTTCTAATCAATAGAGCCCATTAGCAGGCCCTGGAACCAATGTCTTGTTTTTGGGTTTCAGTTGTAGCTGAGAGGATATTATAATACTACACCTTTTTACGAACGACTTTCCCTTCTGTAAAGGATATCTTCATTTATATTAATATGGGTGAATATTTATATGTTTTAAGTGTATAGGAGTATATAATCAAAAAACATATATAGAAAAAGAAGTCTTTATTGAAAATTATAAAATATTACTGAATTTAATATATTGATAAAATTAAATGCTCTAACTTTTAATAAAAGAAGATTATTTATTATATTTCTTTAGGCATATTGATAAACATATATATGGAATGGGAATAGGTGTTAATGTCATGGATGGGACCACAGGTGGCGTTACTGGGGAATGATGGTGTATTGGTGTGGGTGGACGGCCGTATGGAGAAGAGACAGATGGGAGATGGGAAACATTAGAGTGAGAATTATGTGCTCTAGTCACAACTATTTCGAACAATTTTATGTACTTTATAAATTATTTATGAAAATAATCTTTCATTTTTTAAAGTCATTTAATATATTTTATGATTAAATTTATGTGATAAACTTTTTATAATATTTTTTGGAAAATATATACTTAATTAAAGTGTTTACTGAAATTCCCTGTATGACAAAGGTGATGAGTCTATGATGTGTATAGGATAGCTTCTCGGAGGATCAGAAGAAGCATCTATGCAGAATCATCGTTAACCATAACACATGCAGCAGATCACAAACTTTTCTCTACCGATCAAAATCTTTTTGTTTCATGCATAACATAAATTTAATCTTGTATGAAACACGTGATACCCCACATCAGATTCCAAGCGTTTGTTGCTGAACCAATTAATGTGAATGAATGACATGCATCTTGGAGTGGAACAAATGCTTCAAATTAATCAATAAAGGAGAAGCAACATCAGTACTGAAAATGGAAAAATAAAAACTGGTGTCATCCAAAGGATGAACATGAAATGGAATCCCATTTTGAGTTTGGCATTATGATTGGGTAAGGACAGTGCCTAATTCCCTCCCACCTAAGGGATTTAATAAATTGAAAGAGACCCAATTTTAGGATCACGTGATCATGGCATACAAATGTACTGTCATCAATCAAATAGACATCTTAAGACAAGTTGGCTCGGTGGAGATCAGACAGAATTGTTTTACAAAATTTTATTCTTAATACTCTTTTTTGTAACTACTTTCGCAATTGGGAAAAATATGAGAGAGAGAGAGAGAGAGAGAGAAGTGGGGGATAAAATAAGTGATGTGATGGAGAAAAATAAAGAAAAAAAATGTTATAAAATATTACAATATATAGGGGTAATATAACTTTCTCGTAGATATGACAAAATGAATACTACAACACAACTTTTGAAAGGGAAAAAAGAGTGACAAAACAAATCCAAGTTATAATTTTGACATTAGTAAAGATTATGCTTTTCTAGAAATCGAACAGTTTCCATGACTGTATCCCTCTAACCAAAACTCGCGGGGGCAACTGTTATACCAAGACCGTCTTTCTTTCTTTCTTTCCACGAATCAAATTACTTCCTTTGTTTTGGTTTAATGGAGTTACTGCGGACATAGCATCATTAAACTCTACCACATGGGACCTTGAGTAATCATTTATAGAGACTTATGCTATCCATTTCATGGACCAGAACCAGTAAGCGTCTTACTTTGACCAAATTATAACTTCAGATAAAATATACAAGAACTTTAATTTTAGTAGGCTGACGGAAATGGTCGAATAATACTACTCTATCGCACTTTCATGCATACCCACTTAACTATTTATAATCAATGTAATTCCTGTCACAAATACCAGAGTTAATTATAAATAAACATGAAAAATTATGACATATACCCTTAAAATATTAGTTCAGTAATTGAAAGTAAAAAACTTTTATAATCCATGTGCGTAGTGTCATGTGCCTCAACTTTAATTTCTGACATATTTTCACTGTATTTTTTTAACCGAAACTCTAATAAATTCTCAATCAACATACTCGTTGTAGCAAAGCCTTGGGTTATAGATAAACAGATTTGACAGTAAATAAAAATGATACGAGGTAACGTACGTAGAGTGCGTGCGAATAGAAGTGTTGCGTAAAAGATTATGCGAAATAATTTTAAGCAAATCACGGCGAAGTATCAAACACGAATTTATTCCACGGTACAAAAGCAGCTAAATGAATTAAGGAATTTGTCCCTAAGCATTGATTACGAAACTAGAATAAAAATATAAAATGAAAATAAAAAGCATTTGATTTTGAGAAATGAAGATTAAGTGCTCCTCAAATAATGTCTTAGCATGACCAACAAACTAAATATATAAAGAAAAATGTTTATCCCGAAATAGGGGCATTAAAGCCAGGTCTCCATGATACGCAAAATTCACATATTCACTGTTGGCCATTAAACACATTCATCCCACTAATACAAACAAATCATACATTTATAAGATTCCAACATATCATTATAGAAGCACTAATGCACAATCAGCATTGCCTTGAAATAAAAGAATTTTTCGTGTAGAATAATTCCCAATCAGCAGCAACTCGTCTTAATGGGAAAGGATGTTGCCCAAGATCAACTTTAGAACACATGGAAGATGCCCTAACTACTTTCTCTCGCCTTGAAAGAAATATCTTACACAGGCAGGACTGATTTACAATGACCAAGGTCTCCGTCGATTGCACATAGTGTCAACCAGTATTTGGTGACAGCTTTTATGGTTACATGAGATTCCAATATGGTTGGAAAAGTAATGAAATATCAATTTCGTGTTTTACATTGTTCCTTTGACATAAAGAGTATTCACCCTTTCCTACAACAGCCTGTAGATGTCTCTCATGGTTTACATAGCCAACCAACCTCACTGTGTTAAACAGACAACTCGCTCATCAGGATCACAAACAAAAATTGTTCCCAAAGCTTTCTTTGCTTCAAAAAATAATATCACTCAAAAATCAGGTCATTGGCTTTAGATAATGACCAATAAGATTAAAGCACAGCCAATTCATTTATTTATCAGAAAACAATTGGGGGTGTGGAATCTTGAGCAGAGAAAAGCTCAATAAAAAGGCTACAATAAAAAATAACTATATACAAATTCTTGCTACCTGTTCATTTTCACCATTCTTCTTTGAAAGAAATAAGTGCCAAAAGTAGACAGAACATGATACCTCATACACGGCTTCGAGCCTTTTGTGTGCCACCAGATCGAGGAATAGCCAAGACAGCTATGAGTCCACTGACAAGGGCTGCAACAGCTGCCACAGCAAAGGCTGGGGAGTTTCCGCCACCAAATAGCTGATCCCATGGTCCACTTCCCAGGGACACCACTATCTGTTTAAACATGATAAATATGGTAACTCATTAGCACCAGAAACACAAATCCAATTCACCTCTACAACTCTTTTCACAGACTTTTCATTTATAGAACACACAACATCATTCGCTACACAGTATATGTTTGGAACAATAAATAATAGAAACTGATTTGGTAAATAAATAAAAGTTTGTTAGGGTAGTTATAAAATAGGAATTGACTTAAGTTTGAAACCATTTAGTTTAAGTTGTGCGCATGTAAAAATTAGCCTAAATTTGGTAGGATTAGATTTGACTTTAGTTTAACTAATTTGAATTGAAAACTTTGCCCTTATTAGTTAACATATTTTATTTTACCAATTCTACGTAAGGGCACAAAAGTAAATTTGATAAAAAAAAAAAAAATCCATTCAGCTTTGAGATGTTCCAAACATGAGAATTGAACAGCAAATCATTTCAAATTATATTTTTAAGGAGTCCAAATAAGGGAATTGATGATCTAGTCACTACAATGTAAAGGAGATAGTATCATCCATTCAAATTAATTTCACATTTTCGTGATTTCAAACACAAAAATAATAAATTTAATAGTTTACAGCAGTAGGTTATATGTAAGTGACGCCATAATCTATGTATGCTGCTATACTGAAATCTAAGTTTCTCAAAATGTGATATCTATACTTTTTCATTACAGCATTATGATAATACGAAGTTAAATTCAATTTGTCCCCATCTAATAATAGCTATTCTTAGATTTGATATATCAAAGAGAACAAATCCTTGAAAGAACTATTTAAATATGTTATTCAGCATAATGAAGTTGCTTCTTATATATCAAAAAAGTGTTGAAAATCAAGTATAAGTCAAGTAAAAAGAAGTCTCACATTGTCTAATACTAGAATACTAGAGAAGGTGATTAGTATAAAAGAGGTGATGTCCCACCATCTATTGCCTTAAGTTGTGTTTGGATGGAGAATTTTAAAACTAGGAAATATGAAATCAATAATCAGGAATGCTTAGAGTGAGAGTCAAGTATGAGAAAAGTTATAAATGATAAATTCAGAAAGTTGAGAGTAAAAGAGATATTTTAAAATTATCTGAAAAAACAAGCCATTCTTTCTGCTGGACATAAAATAATTTAGTTAAAATTTTGCAATATTTTAAATTGTTCTTTCTTACTATCTAAATATATGAGTTGTAATTTTGAAATACCGTATACAAACACAACATTAAGGTGTTAGGTGGATGTGATGTCCAAATCCACTTGCAGTGATTTTCTCAATGTGGTAATTACACTCTCTCCCTCTGTATATCTATAGACTTCCCTTGATACTCTAACCCAACAATGGTATCAAAGTCAATCGATTCTGGTGACAAACAAGTATGGAAGTACATGGTAGTAGATCTAAGTGAAGGAATCCTAGTACGTTGGTGATGGATCTGAGAGAAAGAATCCTAGCTGTATCGACAGTCTTTGTACATTGATGGTGGATTCGATCGAAGGAATCCTAGTACAGGTTGTATTGATACAAAAGAAGCATTTGTGGGCCAAGAAATGGTGTGCTCCAACAGTTGAGTGAGCTCTAATGCTTGTGTCATCAAATAATACTTGTGGTGTTAAAAAAACACTTTTGCTAAAGGATGGATGGATAAAGTAAAAAGAAATAGAAAAGAAAAAGAGAAAAAAATGAAGAAAGAAAAAAGACTTATACTTGGAGGCAAGTATTGGAGACTTATACTTGAATTGGAGAGTGTTGGAAATCAAGAATAAGTCAAGTAAAAAGATGTCTTATATTGTCTAAACTAGAGAAGGTGACTAGTATATAAAAGGTGATGTCCTACCACCTATTGCCTTAAAGTTTTAAGTAGATGTGGTGTCATATGCTCAATGTGACTTAATGTGGTGATTACACTCTTTCCCTCTATATGTCTGCAACTCTAATCCAACAACAAGAGCCAAACTAAAGTGGAAGCCAAACCAATCTCATTGAACATTATGCGGGATTGTAGGGTTCAACTTGGAACCAAATATTAACGTAACACAAGTCTTCTGTAAAATAAAAATTATTTTCTAATCTATACTTGATAGGAGTGGAAATGTGGACTTGGATCACGAGGAAAGGCCCAAGGTGTGGAGAGTATATGTAAGAAGAAACCGGAGTAAGGGGAGTAAAGATGAGATGCCAAGGGTTGTAACAGAATTGCCAAACAGTAAGGAATGAATATTTAGTGTATATAGGGAATGATTAGGAGAGAGAGGAGGCTGATTTTTTGGGAAATTCTATTATGGGCAGAGGGCAATAGCCTCTCTGAAGGAGCTGTACTCTGTGGCAATGGGATTGTATTTTCTTCTGTATTATTTTTTTTTTACAGCAAATAATACAATCATTCCCCAATTCTCTCAAGTCATTTATATTGTCTATTTTCTAGTTTCTAACAATACTAAATAAAGCAAAAAGAATAACCCGTACAAGTGCCAAATGCCTGCCAAAAATAGTGCAGGGAACGGTATGCAAAAATAAAAAGTCAGTTGTCAACAGCAATGAACAGATTTTCCCATGGTCACCTGTTGAATTTGGTGAATCTTGGGTCACTTCAAATCTGGCAACAAGTTCTATTGACTAATTTTAAAGGCTTCAGCAAAGGACAAAGGAGACTTTATTGTCCCTATGGGATACAAACATGCTCACGGTCTACCTTTGGAGCTCAGTCTGAGGTTTTTCTTTTCTAAAGGAAATCTTCAATCTATTAATACTTCTTCTATTATTAAATTAAAAAGGACAATTTTAATTGTGTTGCAATAAACCATTGAAAAGCAATAATAAGTTGACCAATTCAAAATTATTAAGTAGACACAGCAAAAACTTAGCAAAGTCTGTGTTAGGCACCAGTTTACGACCTGATGTGACACTTGAATTCAAATGGGAGTAGAACACATTCAATTTTACTGTGTTGCAGTTTGCATGTCCATATTTATGTTTCTTAGTCAAAGGTATACAATAATACAAAACTAAACTGCAACTTTACCACACCCTGAAAAAAGCCTGCACTGATGATCTTATTCAGCAAAAGACCTCAGAGAGGCCAAAAAGTTTCGTTTTAATTAAGGCAAATGCATAGTAAGGGATCACATATTACATCTTACTGCCTTGCCATTTGTGGTATCAACAGATACGACCATTCAACCTCAATTATTTAGACCTCATGACTTGTGACCAATAATTAAGTTCATTTCAAGGTAATTTTAAATTATAGAAGTTGATTAAGTTCAAATGAAAATCTAAGATTATGCTTCCCACAAGGTTGGTATGAACAACAAAATAAAGGTGGTTCAACTTGAATCATACATAAAAGGAATTCAAAAGAAGAAATACCTGTGGAATCACTATTGCCAGATTTAAGACACCCATTGATAACCCTGTAAGTACCAACAATCCATATAAATAATTCTACAAACACCTCTTCAGGAAAGAACAAAAAGGATATGAATACAAGCACACCTTGGCCAAGTCCCAAGGACTCAATATGGGTGGAAATTAAGGCATATGGAACACTGTAAGTGATCTACAATAAATAATTTCAAACGGATTAATTTAATCAAATAGTATATATAATTTCAACACATTCACATATATGGAACGACATTGAAATTTTCATTTCTGACACATCATGTTATCCTCAGAATAAAAGGCATCACAAGGACTGCCCAAAATAAATAAATAAAGGGAGAGGTCATACAAGACAGTACAGTTTGTGCGAAGGGGATTATGCAGCTGAAACAAGTCAATTAATACAATTGATATGTATTTGCCACTACAATTCCAAAACAAATTCAAGAACAACAGACTTTGAACCTTTGTTTTAATGAACAGAGAGACATAAGGACTGCCTTCAAATTGACAGGAAAGGAAAAATATGCTTTTAGTAGTAGAGTAGGGGAACTTACAGACAGTGGAAACCCAAGAACAGTAAAGATAATCAAGGCAGCTGCCACAATGCCAGTTGGTGGTAGATCTTTGCCTACATAGTCCATGTTATTTGCCATATAGGTTACTACTAGTAGTGCAAGAAAGCAAACAGCCATCAGGATGTTTGAGATTCCCCACACAAATCCAGCCCCCCTCTTCCTGCATAGCCACTCCATGAGCAATGATGTTAATCCAAGAACAACTGAATTAAGTAACAAACCAAGTGCTCCCATTCTAACTCCAGCATCATAAATAAGGCCTTGATTTGGATCACCACCATAAACCTCTCGACCCATCCAGTCAGTATCAAAGAGGATAAATGGGAACCACCCAATCCATGTCAGAGCAGTAACAGCCAGAATTATCCACACAGGCGTTGTAAAATATTTGAATGTCCCAAATAATTCCCACATGAAAGCTTCTTCTGCACTACCTGACTCCCCTCCCCCTGCTTCAGTATGGGCTGCCTCATCTGAATTTAAAGGCACTTCATGAGCTGCCATGATGCTGATATATGTTGTGACCACAATGAAAGCAATGTCAAGAAAGAAAGCAGACTTGAGATTTGCACAACTGATTGTGCAAGCAGGGGAAAGTGCAAAAGTAAAAATCTTGTGCCAGCCACTGTATGATCCAGTTGCATAGCCAAGAACATTGCCAACAGCCATAAATAGCGAGTAATAAGCATTTGCAACACGTGTCCTTCGAGGATCCTTGCCTAACATTCCAACAAAGAAAAAGATAAAGCAAAGAATGAAGAGGAACATCAATGCCTTGTTTGGTTTCAAATTGATCATGTTCACTTTCATAAGAATTATGACAGATGTTATAAAAGCATTTTGTTCTTTTTAGTGGTTGGGGGTGTGGAGGGAGTGAGGGAATTCACATGAAGCACGCATGACTCTCTCTCTCTCTCTCTTCCTTCTAAATGGTCATTTCATATGTCTAAAGTAACATATAATTACCAATGCATGGAAAAGCAGTGTTCATAACATTTATTCAAACATTTACGTCAGATGTGACTAAAATAAAATATAATTACTGTATTCTTTTTAATTTAGGTGAGACCTATATTCAATAGTAAATATCAAGCAGAGATCAACTGGATGGAGGATCTATGGCATCATTCAAGGCAGGACTAATTTATTTTCAAAGAAGCTGATTAAATCCCACTTTTTCAACACCTTACGTGCTGAGTCCATAGGGGAATGCAACTAATTGAGTTAGTTCATTTCCTGTTAAAATAATTAGATATCAGTTCTTATTTATGTTAGTTTGGTGAGTTAGTAGCAGCTTATCCTATCCTGCATGGTGCATACACTCTTCGTCGCACCAGCTTACATTCTATATACACAATTATACACATACTTAAGTAGTTACAATGAAAAACAACCATGAGTCTCTAGTTTTGTACAAAATGCATTCTACATATACATTCTATTCTTCCTCTATCAGAGAAAAGCACGTAGCAATCAAAATGCAAGGCCATAACTAAGGTGAAAATTCACTTGGCATCCACACCATAACCATGAGTTTCAAAGCAAGCACTAAACAAATTTAGCAACAAAAGGAATAGAATGAAAATGGTAACACACTCCCCTACTAGAATGCAGAAAGGGAATACAATGCCCTTCAAGACTCAATCCAGTTCCAAAAGCACTTCTTTGTTGCCATTTTAACCCAAACTTCCTTATCCCCCACAAAACAATCCTTGACAAGCAACGTGATTTAATCATTGCAATTCTTCAAATAGGAGATCATTAAGTTGCCAAACTACACATACTACACAACCTTTCCAAATCAAACATCAAATTCACTATTTAGTACAAATCTCTCAGAAGAAAATTCGGTAAAATCAGGTCAACAACAAATACTCACGCCGATTATAACGGTCAAAGTATAGTCAACTGTTCACATGCAAGATACATAGATGAAACCATTCTATATAACACAGTATAAAGCATCAAGAGACATCCAAGTCAACAAGGTAGCTTAAACTTCGTTGAACCATAATTCAAGTAAAACCAATTCACAAAAAAAAAAAAATGAACAGTGGAAACTTCGATTAGGGATAGCGAATCCAACTATCGAAAGCACAAGATAAGACGAAGAACTTCACTTACTAGTGAGATCACCGAGCAAAGCTCTGCAAGGACCTTGCGTAACGTTGTTAGCGACGTCAAGGATCCAAAACCCGATGACGAAAACTGTTATAGCCCAAGGCCGGTAAGACTCGGTGTCGCCGAGCAACCACCCGATATCGGCGGCGTAACCGATGATGAGAACGGCGACGACGATCGCCACCGCACCGAGCAATATAAACGGTTTTCGTCGACCGAACCGGCTAGTGCAGCGGTCACTCATGTGGCCCACTAAGGGCTGAACAAAAAGCCCAGAAACAGGGCCGCAGAGCCATATGATGCTGGCCCATTGATGAGGAATCCCCAACTGCTGCACATACGGCGTTAACAGAGAGAGTTGCAAGGCCCAACCGAACTGAATACCACTCGCTACCGACGTCACCCGTAGCAACTGCTTCAGCGAAACCCTCGCCCGAACCGGCGCTGACGTGGACGGTCGAGTCCTCGACCGGTGTTGGTTACGGTGACCCTCGGGATTCGGCATCACGGTCCGTGCCACTTACCCTCTCTTTCTCTCTCTAGGTTGTTAGAAAAACGGTTTCGTCCGGTGCAACAGAAAAATAGTACTAAAACGCAGAGAGAGAGAGAGAGAGAGAGAGAGAGAGAGAGAGAGAGTGGCGGTTTCACTGTGGTGTAGAGCAGAAGCAAAGTTGGTGCGGTGCAGTGCAGTGAGATTCCGTTGAGTTGTGTGAGAATTGAGATGAATCGCCGAGATTGACCTTTTTGGTGAGATATATTTACGAGACTGCCCTTGCTTTATTGTTAATTGTAACTCTTAATTGTTTGTTTAAGGAGTGTGTAGAGCAACTTGGATCGTGGCTTGTGGATAAAACGACAAGGGAATTAGATAGGAACGGGGTCGTTTAAAATGTGTTTAATTATTATAGGTTAATAGGGACAGGCAAACCGGTAGGGTGTCACATAATGCAAACAGAGCGTATAAAGAAAAGAAAAAGAGGTTCATGGGTTGGCATTGGTCGGCTACTACTAACCTTTCTAGCTCTTTTAGGGTTAATTTAGTAATAATAATCGTTCGTTTGGAAATGCTTCATTGATTAGAAGATTTTTTTTAGCTGCACCTCCACTGCATTGCACATCTAATTTCCATCTTTTTTTAATTTAATATATTTGATTAAAACATGTTCCACACCATTCTTTGCTTTTCGCTTTTAGAGAGTTAATACGTAAAGTGCTTGTGAATATTGCATGGTATATATGCGTATGGACCAAGTCTTTCAATTTTCCTTCTTCAATTATGTTATTTCGATTCATCTTGATCAAGTCAACATGGATACAGTAGTTTTTTATTCATACCAAAGTAAACCCACGTGCCAGGTTTATTTTCTAGAGGACCCTCCACCTTCTGCTTATTTTTTATAAATGGTAATCTGAACTCGATTAGAAAACGAAACAGATTATCCTCTCTACTTTAAAAAAATTATTTAAATAATTCTAAAAAATATATATATATTGTATAAACATCGTAAAAATTTTCTAGAATATTCCTTACCAGACGTAGTACCTTTAAGAGAAGAAAAATAAAGACACGTATTTAATGAGGTGAGGGTGCTTTCCTTCTGATGATAAGCAAAGGGAACAATGATGACATTTAATAGAAGTACCTTTCAGGAAGATAGGTTCCACCAATTCAAATGTTTTTTTTATGCATTTTAAGTATTAATATTAGTTCAATTTTTTATTTTAAATATAAATACTTAGTGCATATATATTTAAATTAAGTTTTCTAAATTTATAAAATTTCAAATACAAATTAAATTAATACAAGTAATCCTAGAAAATGTAAAATCATTTATTTAAAGTTTAAACTACATGAGTTGGTTTACTTAATTTTTTTATCATAATACTTTTTACACTTTGTATATTAACATAATTTAATGTTTTCATGTAAATAAATAGAGCTAAAAGCTCCTTTAAATTAGTTTTATCGTGTACTAAGATTATATGTATTTTATTACTTTAAAAATCTACATATTTTTTATGTTATAGCTTTTATTTCATATATTAATATATGGTATCTTAAAATTTTAATTAACTAAAACTAATGTATAATACTATTTTAACTTTCATTTATATAAATTATATTTACTTTTTTCAGATATATTAATCATTAAACTCTATTTACATCCTTACTTATTATAAAAATTACGTAAACAAAACATCTACTTTTTAATTAGAGAAATAAATATTTTTTTATTTAATATTAATTACATTAATTTAATTATATAATATTATAAATATTGTTAAAATAAAATATAAATTTATGACATCAACTATTTTTTTATCGATCTGCTTAAATTAAATATTTTTATAAATAAAATACAAAATATTATATTTAAGAAAATTAATAAATCGTATTTAATGTTTTATAATTAAATATCATTAATGTTTGTTAATAAAAAAAAAATCTTAGACACCGACACGCGATATTCGTCTTTTTCTATGAAATCAATGTGTAATTATTACGACTATTATTTTATTTTTAATATAAGCCAACGAAGATAGAGATGCTTAGTCATTAATTTAAAATCAGGAAATAATAAATCCTTGAAAGATAAAGCAAGTCAGGCACCTTAATGATCATAGCATTATATTAAGATAAGTCACCCAACAAATGCCATATATTTTGGAATTAAAAAAGAAAATATTAAAAGAAGCTTGACAACAATTCATCTATATACTACCCATTTGAGTATTTTTAAGAAAATAGGAATAGAGTTTATATTATTCTTAAGTTTAAATATATTATTAGTTCCTGTAGGTTATTTTGTAATAAATTTTTATAATTTTTTTATTAAAATATAATCTTTAAAAAGTTAAAAATTTAGAATTTAATCTTTATTATTAGCTTTTTTCTCTATTAAGTGCTGAGTTAACTTTCTGTCAACTAGTTCAGCATTCTATGTGGCATGTCATATCATTTTTTTTATTTAAAATTAAAATTTACAAATAAGTTTATGAACCTATTTTATATAATTATATAAAAGTCTCTTCTTTTTCCTCCACTCTTTCCTCTTCACTCACCCCTTTCTCTTTCCCACACTTCCATCTACATTACCCCTCTCCTTCACTCACTTTCATTCCTCTATTTGCACCACCCCTTCCCCTTCCTCACTATCTATTTCTTCCACCTCTTCCCTACATCTTTCTCTCTCCAACACTCACACCCATTCCTCATATCCACACTATCCTTCTCCATTCCCCACATTTCTTTCTCTCTAACACCTACACTCCTACCACCATCCGCACCGCCCCCTCCCTCACACCTTCCCTTTTTGCTATTTGTACCATCCTTACACCCCCCATCCTTTCTCCATCACCCATTTCTCCCACCCCTTCCTCACATCCTTCTTCCTCCGACATCCATATCCATTCTTCACATATGCATAACCCTTCTCCTTTCTCTACATCATTTTCTTTTCAACACTTATACTCGTACCACCATTTGCATCACCCCCTCCCCCACCCCGAACAAAATCTGACACATTGAACTTCTTTGCCAGCTCAACAATGTCCACAATCATTTTCACATTTGCCACATCACTATCATTCTCGCGACAAGTTGGCGATTTCAAGGGTTAAAATGACGATGCAGTGGAGGAAATCGAAGGAGAGTTGAATGATAGGACCATAGCAAGTGGAGAGAGTGTGGAAGCCTTAGTGGGATAAGTGAGATGAGGTAAAAATGACAAAAGGATAGGAAGAAATGGGAGGGAAGAAGGGGTGCTAGAAAGGGGTTGTAAGGGAGGGGAAGGGAGTGACGACGGAGAATAAAGAAAGAAAGTTAGATAGACTTTATGTAGTTATGTAAAATATGTTTAGGGACTTATTTGTAAATATTTTTAAATAAAAATAATAAATAATAAATGGTGTGACATGTTACATAAGTTGTGACTAGGCTTCGAGATGGCCATGTGACACCACGTAGAGTGCTGAGCTTGCTCTTTTTTTTAGTTGTTTAAAAAAGAATTTGAATTCGCAAAAAAAAGTATTTTTACCTATTTTTTTTTAGAATAGGAGAATACAATTAAAGTGTATAATAAGGCTTATATTTATTAAACATACGCAGATCTAACTCTAACTCTATTATCTATCTATAGATAGATATCTTTATTACTTTATTGCACGTTCGGGAAAGCATATGACATGTCATGTTAATTTTTTATTTTCTATTTAATATATAAAAAAAGGAAAGCACGAGCAGTGCAAGGACTAAATCATAAATTTCTAATTTTTCAAGACTACATCTTAACAAAATATTTTATAAGGACTTATCACAAAATGAACTACATTTATAGGGACCAATAACATATTTAAGTTTTATTCTTATTTACACACGTATATTAAAATTAATTTTTATGATAATATGATCATTAATAATTAGAATTAAAACATATAACTTATGCAAATGCAAAAATTCAGAAATAAAATAATTAAGTTATAAATTATTAAAAAAAATACCAATTCAAAATATGTGTTTGTAAGAGGAGAAAGTCCTCCATCATAACATTTTATTTTTTATAAACACATTCTCAAGCAAACCCATGAACCTAGTATAAATATTTGTGTTTTTTATTAATTTTTAATTTATTAAAATATTTTTTGTTTATTATAATAAAATGTATAATTTACATATTTTTTGTATTTTAAATAAAATTTAATTAATAATTTATTTAAAAATATATAAAAAGTCATGTTGTTAATATTTTCATATTCAAATACCAATACTTAATTTTCAAAATACACACTATTTATTACATATTAAATGTTTAAGAAACTCATTCGTTTACTTTAAGACTAGCATTCAAAATATAATTAAATAGCCACTTTTCTTAATTATAACCTTCTGTATTTTATAATTTTTCTTTTATTATCCACTTTCATAAATCATTCTCATGGATACAAATCTGATCAAAATGACTAACTTGACATAAATTAACCTAGAAAACATAGATCTGTCTATTTTACACAAATATTACAATTCGCTTATAATATATAATATTTACAATTCAATAAAAAAATAATTCTATTGTATTTGGATATAAAATTTTAAAATCATAAAACCAATAATAGAAAATACTCAAAATATGAAAGAATTATGAAAGATAAATAAAAAAAAGGAAGCATAATAGATTTTAATTTTTTTTCTAAAAATAAGTTATTTGAATTTTTTTATTTGATATAAAAATTATGTAGTTAAAATTTTATAGTATTTTAAAATTAGTTTTTTTTTTCAAATATATTCAAGGTAGTTATTTTTAAAATGGTAAAAGTTTGACTGCATGTATATGTATATAATCAATTTTTTTTATTGAATTTGAATTTTTTTAAAAATAAATGATATATTTTAAAATATAAAATGTATAAATTAAAACCCTTTTTAAAAATTTAAATAATTTATAAAATAATACAAAAAAATGCATTAATTATTTTTTAAATCTTAAATAGAAAACACTAAAAATACATGTAAAAAATTTAAGGTTAAAATAAATATTTAATACATATAATTAATATTTATTTATAAATTAATTTTTATACTGAATATTTATTAAGCTAATTATTATATCAATTTTGAATAATGTTAAAATAATAAGAATTAAAATATAATAAATTATTAATATAAAAAATTAAACTATAATTTTAAATATAAAATAATTTATAAATGAGCATTAACTGAAAAGCCTAAATATTTGTATTAGTCGAATTCTAATTAACTGGGCAATCGATATTATCCATTTCTTTGAATAATTTTAGGAAAACTAAATATAAAGTGATTTTATCTTATTTTCTCCATTTAAAATTGGAAAGGATAAAACAAGCCTTGCAATTTGCTTACATAAAATCTCTCACTTTCTCTGTGTGACGACGGCGTGTCAGCTTCTGAAGCTTTGACAATGGCGGCAGTGTTGGAAGCATCATTGGCGACCCCATTCTTTTCTTCAAAGCCTCACACCACTAATTTCCCTTCAAAGTTTCACACTTTTCCCTCAAAACTCACCCTTCGCAATACCCATCGTTCTTCTTCTGCTGCAAATGCTTCTCTTTCTCCTTCTTCCCCTCAAGACCCGAACCCGAACACCCAATCAAATTCTGACTCGACCCGGGATCGCCAGAGAACCGTTCGGCTCGCTTGGGAGAAGCTCGTCCGGTGGTCCAGGTCTTGGCGCTCCAAGGCCAAGACCGACGTACTCGAACGCACAAATAAGGTGCCATTTTTTAAATTATAAGTAAAATTTAAAAATTGATTTTTTTTTTTTGTGGTATTGTTCCATTTTATGATTTACAGGTCCCTTTATTTGAAAAGGGTACTCTCTTTTATCTATTTAAAAAAAAAACTAGTTTTTGACCCACGGAGTGGTGGCTTTAAATTATTTATGTAACTGAACTGTCAAAGGTCAATTCAGAAGAGTTTATAAATAATTTATCAAAATAGTTTGAGTTTTGTAGGTATTTTTTTTAACGTATTTCTTAACTTATGAAGTAAGTTATTTTTAACTTATTTTAATAAATGTGAGGATTAAATTTATGGAATAAGTTATCGTGTAAAAAAACTTATTAATAAGTACTTCTATATATCTAAATACACTTCTACAAGAATAAGATTTTGATGTTGTTATTGTGTATGAATGTGTTGATGACATAACATGGTGTTTGGTGGGTCTTATGTGGTGTGGCAATGACAGTGAGATTGTTCTGTTTGTTTGAAAAAGGTGGTTGTGCTTGGAGGGGGGTCGTTTGGGACCGCAATGGCTGCCCATGTTGCAGAGAGAAAGGCTCAATTAGAAGTGATGATGCTGGTTAGGGACCCTCAAGTTTGTTTCTCAATCAACGAGAGACACTGCAACTGGTAGCCTTTTTATCTGTCCTCATAATCTGAGTAATTACAGGTTAACTTGTGAGCTAAGAAGGACGAACACTTCTAAATAATGGTTGTGTTACATCATAACTGTGTTGAATAGATATCCATGTCAGACATTGCATGATAGGATAGGATATTAGAGTTGAATAAGGCATATGATGGAATAAGAGCATGGTAGAATTTATGTTCAATGCGTATTAAAATAATATATTGTGTTATCTTATGCAGTTTCCCTCGAAGGATAAAATTTACACTAGAAAAAAAGCTAGGATAAGGCTATAAGATAGATTTATCATATCCTTTTAGTTTAACAAACGGCAGAAATAAGATAAGATAAGAAAAGATATCTTATTATTTTCTCCTATCCCATCTACCAAATGAGCCTCCAATACTTTTTGATGCATTATATTTTAAACCTATTTTGATACTATGTTACTTTTAGACAAATTTATTGCATTGTATTAGTCGTATTGTGTCCTTGATTTTTAAAATTTATTGTATCTAAGTCTCTGGATCATATCATATTTATGTTTTGTGTCATATCCTTGCTTCCTCTCTTGTGAGACGTGATCATATAATTTCATCACCATGTCTCGCTTAGGTCACTGTTTGTATTTTATTTTGGGCAGTAAGTACTTCCCAGATCATAGGCTGCCAGAAAATGTAGTTGCAACAATTGATGCCAAATCTGCTTTGCTTGGTGCAGATTACTGCCTTCATGCAGTGCCTGTTCAGGTCAGTTGAAGTGTGAGTCTTTGTAGTTAAATAAAATGCTCCTTCTGCCTTATATTAGATGTCATTTGAGCACTTTTTATTTGTATCAAATTATTTGTCACTGTAGAATATATAAAAAAAATTATTAATTACTTTTTTCCAATAATACCCTTTTTTAATTAAGAATAGTTCTTGGCAACTAACTATTAAAATAACTCTACATTAGTTATCACCTAACACTAAAATAACTTCCAACATTTTTAATATAGGAGTATTTTAGTGAAATCAATTTATTTTGCCATAATAATTAGTACAACTAATCATTTTCTCGTGATGGGTGCATTAGTACTAAGTGATTTCTAATATGAGATGGAGGGAGTACATATGATGATTCTCAGCATATTTTGTTTGTAAAAGATGTGACTGACTAAATCTTTGAGCCTGCAATTGCAGTTCAGCGCATCTTTTCTTGAGAGTGTTGCTGAGTATGTTGATCCGGGCTTGCCATTCATATCTCTCAGTAAGGGCCTAGAGCTGAATACCCTCAGGATGATGGCTCAAATTATTCCTCAAGCACTACGAAACCCTCGCCAGCCTTTTGTTGCACTATCAGGGCCTTCTTTCGCTTTGGAATTGATGAATAAGCTACCCACAGGTGATAATGATGTTGCTACTTACATGTATGAACTTTGTTTCATATTTATGATGAAAGCCAGTATGTTTTGTCTTTTGGTTCCATTTTTCAAATTGCAGCAATGGTAGTAGCATCAAAAGACAAAAAATTGGCAAATACGGTTCAGCAGCTACTAGCTTCAAGTCATTTAAGAATCAGCACATCAAGGTAGATGACCTTAAGTAGACTCATAATAGAATTACTGAGATTGAATTTCATATGTAAATGATACCCTGGCTTCTGTTTTTGTTTCATGCATAGTATGGCAAAGGACTATTTATCCAGATATTGATGCAAATGTTCAGCTTGTAATCTCTGATAACTCCAGTGACGTTACAGGAGTTGAAATAGCAGGTGCACTCAAGAACGTGCTTGCAATAGCAGCTGGGATTGTAGAAGGCATGAATCTTGGTAACAACTCAATGGCTGCTCTTGTCTCACAAGGCTGTTCAGAGATACGGTGGCTTGCAACGAAGGTAATTAATCTCTCTTTAATCAACTCTTAGAACTCTTTGCAAATAGTACAAATTTAGTGAAGGGGAGCAAATTGGTTTTCTCTTAAAAGGCAACTGTATATGCATTGTATGCAACATCTAATTTGCAGAAAGTGTAGCAAATAGAATATTCAATACATATAATACAAACTTTTGACCTTTCTAATTGCACGTTGTTTTATTGACTTACCCAAGGTCAAGAATAGAGTTCTGATGCTTTATGGCCATTTCAATGGTTGGAGTTCTTGGTTTTGCAATTTTGTTGATTCTGTATATATATTATTTTTACATCAATGCATTATGGTAGATACCTTCTATCAAAATGTACACATGCACATATACTTTCTTTTAGTGGCTCCAAATGCATGCGCAAATAACTGATGTCCATTGTGCCTATCTTATTTCTCTTTCCTTCAATTGTCTTTTGAAGATGGGTGCAAAGCCGACTACAATAACTGGCCTGTCAGGAACTGGAGACATAATGCTTACATGTTTTGTGAATCTTTCAAGAAACAGAACAGTTGGCGTGCGTCTTGGATCAGGCGAGAAGCTTGAGAACATACTCAATTCCATGAATCAGGTATCTGAGAAGTTTCTCCAAGTGTTCCATACCATACTCGAAACTTATGCAAGTGGCAATAGGTTCTGAAATGTTTATGTTTATCCTTACTATGTGCAGGTAGCAGAAGGTGTCTCCACAGCCGGAGCAGTAATTGCTTTGGCACAGAAATACAATGTAAAGATGCCAGTATTGACAGCAGTTGCTCGCATCATCGACAACGAACTTACCCCTAAGAAAGCTGTTTTTGAGTTAATGAGCCTCCCTCAGGTTGTTCTGACCCTCCTTTCAGAAGAACTTTATTGGTTTATTTTGAGATTACAATTTGATTGATAACTTTTGGTGATAGGTTGAAGAAGTATGAAACCTCCCAATACATCATTATGTCTACCAGCTGCTTTTTAACTGCTGCTTGTAAGACATTTGTGTACCAATTCTTTTCACCATTGTGCTTCTAGTGCTGAAGGCTTGGTGAACAAAATTTTGCACAATCAGGGTTGCACCATGTAGTTCTTAGATTTTGAGAAATATGTAGATTCTAGACGATGCATTATCTCACCTCAATTTATACTTTCTTACCATGACTATACTTGGAGCCACAAATGTGCGTTACTCTAATTAATGTCACTTGTTTGTGCAACTACCTAGCATCTACACACTTCAACATGAATGTTTTGGTTGGTATGTCAAAGTAAAAAAAACTAGCATGTTCAAGATTTTGTTTCAGTTTTGTTAATATCAACCCTTTAAGCTTATTTTAAGTATTTGAAAATAGTATATTTTTGTTGAAAAATAAACTATTTATAGTTTGTAATTTTTATGTAATACATGTATCCTTTTTTTATATATATAAAATTTATTATTTTTAATTGCTTTAAATTAACATTTTTTAATTATAAAATTATCATCTTATTTTTAATTTGTTTCCTTCAAAGTTTGTATAACAATAAAAATTTGTTTTCATTATAACATTCAAGGTTTTGAAAATTTTAAAATAATATTTATTATTTAGGGTGCCAATAAAAGAAGGTTCTTCAAGGGAGTAACTGAAATTACATTACTATTAGTAGTGTGCTCTGGAATAGGACTAGCAACATGAATCTTTTGTTGCCTCAACCATCACAAGTCCAATGATCAACAACATTGTTCAACAAAACGACGGCCAAATATTAGGTTGGGTTTTTTTTTTTTAATAGTGTAAAAATATTATTTTTTTATGCGTATATCCTTATATTTATATTATGAGTTATACCTACAGAACTTTTGACAGTTCACTATCTTACTCATTACCTTAGATTAATTTATCTGGAGGAAACTAGAAGCGATTCCAAACATTACCCTTATTTTATTTAAATTTGCTTAGGCTAGAGATTAAGAATGCTTTCATGCCGACAATAGCAAAGGAAAGTTCTATGTCTCTTTTGGGTTACTTATACTATATTTCATTACAATGATTGAATTAATAATACTTTGTTGAAAATGACCTACTTAAAAAAGTAATAATAATAGTAGTTGCAATAATAAAAAAACAAACTTCCTCGTCCAATTTAAAATTATAACGTTTTAAAGTATTTTGTACATAAAATTTTATAATTGAGATTGATATTGCTACATAGATAGAAATACTTTAAATTAACTTATCACGACAGTCACAGTTTATTTCACAAATTAAACACAAGATCATCCCAGAAATAGGCTTAGTCAGCTTCTGTCGAGATTCTATCTATAATATGAATATAATCATTCAACATTTCAAATAGATTAAATTTCTAAAAATAAAGATGTTAAAAAGTCTACACACCACAATAATTCACATTTAGTCCAATGATCACATGATAAGTTATTCACAACCATAATTTTATATAATATTCGCACGCGCACACATGTTAGTGCTGGCTGAATTCATTGCTGAGAAATAATATTTTTTATCACTATTATTTTTGGAGAAAACTTATGAAAAAGAAGAAGTCATTTCTCACAATTTAAGCTGAGATAAATATGATAGCAAGGATTGCTTCATGTTCATTTGGATCTTTTGAATCATGCTTGGAAGGGTTATAATGCCAACATTAATTTACCTAGGGTTATAATGTCATCATTAATTCGAAAAGTAATTATTATTTCATACATTTTCTAATATAGTGTCTTAGCTTCATTAATCTACTTAGGAAGTAATTTTATACCTTATGGGATAACTTAGACAAACCCATCTGATTTAGGGTACAAAGGGTGTTTTGGATAAAGAACAAAGATAGTTAATAGTTTAGAAATTTATAGTCCTTTATGCAAGTGTATCGTTAACAAAGAATATTATTTTGAACTGAAAATATCATTTGAGGGTTACCTATATTAGAAAATCTTGGTTCTTATTATTTTTTATTTTTAGGTTCCAGAAAATCTTTGTTGAAAGCATCATAAATGAAATTGGGTATCTTTATTGTAGTGGAATTCCTCCGTTCAAAAAATCTTTTCTCCAGATCCCAGCTCAGCTTCAACTTCAAATCAAATCACACAACATGCAAGAAAAGCAAGCATTTAACATGAAAAAACTCATCATTCCATGCACATCTTATTCAAATAATTTTATCTCGAAATTTGATGGAGAAGAAACATTTTTTATTATTTGATGTGTCACACTACCTGTTAATGAGACTGTCAGTGTTTGTTCTACAGTGTTTTTTTTAAGTGTATTAATTCGGATGGATGCAATCCATAATTTATTTCCTAAAAAAAGGTCAAAATGAAATGTTAAAACTTAAGAGATTATGAAATCAAGCACATTTTTGAAAAATTAACTACATAAGTTAATTGCATTGATTGAATAGTTGTTATCCAATTTGACACGCCACAGCCAAAAAATTTGAATAAATAACCACCAATTCTGGTCCCCCCAGCATGTTCATCCTTAAATGGTAGTACATGTTTTTCAAGCTAAAAACATGATAAACAAAAATCAGATAATCTATCCATTGCCTTCTTTTAAGAAAAAAGTGATTCTTTAATGAGGTGTCATCGATTGCTTTCGTATAATACTCTCCATAAAGTAATTGCTAATGACTAATGATGATAAAATTTTCTTTCTTTCTTCTATTTTTTTAAGAAAGCTCAATAGAGCAAATAAAAAGGGTAAGCACAAAACTAGGCTTGAAGTTAATCAAACCATGTTGAGTTAACTACAGAGATAATACTACTAGGTAAGTAGTATTGGTGCTCTACCAGTTAGTTTTGGTGGCTATCCACCAAACACCCTCCTTGACTATAGAGGTTGAATGGCCATTGAATAATGATCTTAACAAATTCTGCCCTCCCTTTTTCCCAATCTTTTGTTGCTTCTCCATGTTGACACTTACCCTTCTTTTAGGCCATTCCCATGCAAATAATAATGCAAAGAGGCACAACAAAGAATAGAAGGCAGAACTTATTTAGAATTATGATGTAACAAGTTGTTACCAATACCATCACTCCCTTTTGTCCTCCTCTCTATCTTCTCCAAGTCCAAACACATGATGATCTGCAGCAACTGATGCCTTTCTTTCCTTTCTTTCTAGCATGATTGCCATGTCCCCTGACACCTTAACTGCACTTCCAGTGAGTGTGATAGCCTTGTCGTCAAAGTCATCACCCGTCTCCTCTGAGTATGCATATCTGTACAACCTCATGTAAAATGTCACTATATCAGTGTAAATATCAATAATAATAACAACAACAATAATAAAAGAAATTTGGTTAGCTGTAGGTATGTTTCTCAAAATCAGCATTCAAACATCTGATCTCTACTTAAGTTATGGTCTTAAACCTCATGGAATATGAGTTTGAATTTCACCTATGATTCTCTGAAATTCCTTTCACATACATCAGTCGATTTTGGTTTTAGACAAACATTAAGCTTGAATGTTCATTAAGTGATACGTATCTGGTACCTTTCCAATAAAGAGACAGAAAGAATCTAGCTTATATTGATTCCACAAACTGACAAATATAATAGTAGTAGATTTTGACAAAATCAACAGTCTTCTTCAGGCACAAACAGGAAAATTAAATATTACATTTTTAAAAAAAAAATACGGACTGCAATCAAAATTTTTGCAACCAAAAAGGCATAACCACATTTTGTAATAAAGTAGCCATAATTATTTTACTATAAATTATATGTTAAATAAAGCTTACATATTTGCACCCTTAACTACTAATATTTGTATTCCCAGAATTTCCTTACATTATGATTTATAGCACATCATTGAAACCACAACCTACCAGTCACTATGCAAAAGTTTAAAACTCAGTAAGAGGGCAGCAATATGACCTGACTTGGACTTAGGAAACATATTTATAAGGTGTTCTCAAAACATGAGCAATTAGCAGAAAGACTGGAAAACATTTAGAACACAGCAAGACATTGAAAACAAACTTCACTACATTCAGGTCAAAAGATATCATTCATAGAAACCTGCAATTAAAAAGAGAACAGAAGAACTCCCCAATTTACAGAATAGAACATAGACTGCAGTTCTTCGAAAGCATGCACCTCCAACGCCCAAAGGCCCCAATTTCCTCTCAAATTACAGGTTAAGTCTTCCTCTCAATCTCTCCTCTTATTTATAGACAATATGCCCTAATTTACTAACTTGCTCTCTCACTAAATGATATTAACTAACTAACTTCAAGCAAAGTTGTAAATGGAAACATAGATTTACAAGTATAAATATGCAATTATGCAAATTACATGAATCACATTTTGCAACCTTGTGGATTTCTGACACTACCAGAATATTAAGACTCCAGTTCATTTCATGAGTAGGCTTATTAGAATTTATGATTATATTTTCTGTATGTTTTCTGTTCCTTCTTCCGATTTATGCTTCAAGAGATGGGAAAAAGTAAAGCTAGATTTTACCTAGTTGGATTTTGAGATGGGGCCCAGAGAATGCAGATCACTACCAAGAGAACATATGCAAGCAAACTCCAGAAAGCTGGGATGATCCAAGCTCTTTGCCACAGTTCACTTAAAGGGTCAGATGCATTGAAGTACAACTGAAACAAAAATTAAGAAATATCACAGCTTGAATCTCCTGTAGTTATCAGCATAAAAATAAAAACAAATTTATGAACAATTCTTGCTCCTGGTTATTGAAAAACTATTCTCAAAATTGTTTGACATCAAATTCACTTCTTAAACTTTTATTCAAATCTATTATACCACCCAATATTTTCCTTCATTATATTTTTGTTTTATTTTGAACTGAAAGATGGTAAATTAGAAGGAAGAACTTAACAAGGAAAGTAGTTTTCTTTAAAAGATTTGGCTAGAAGGAAAAAGTAGGTTCGAGCAAGCTTTTGTGGTTTAATGAGCATCAAAAGGTAACGAGAAAGCACGGAAGAAATTAGTAACAAAAACAAAGACTACCTCATAGCCAATCCATAGTACTGACAGCAGCACTGTCACTGCAAGGGAATTTGTAAATTTCCGGTACAACTCAAGTTTTGTCATACTTCTGCGGATCTGTACATAGGATGGACAACTGGACACAATCAATTTTAATCAACAGCCAAGCAAATAAAATCCAAGATACACCTGAATAAAGTGGGATCTTATTTTGAAGCTCTGAGCATTCTTTAGTTACCCATTTTAAATTTATCCTTGAATCATAATAATTTGTAAAACACAAAAGCTATTTACTAAATGTACCTGTTCTTCCTTTGTTAAACCGTCATAACACTTTTGTATGCATGTCAACAACAACAACTATAGTGAACACAAACATGTCCTACATGTGCCTACTCTAGAATTTCATCGATTGGAATTGAGCTCATCAATATGTTGCCCCTCTGATGAGCAAACGAGTTAGGAAGATGATATTTATACCAGTGCATGAATGACGAGCAAGGATGGGAAAAATTATAGCATAGTAGGATACCTGAAGCTTTTCCAGGGTTTTAGATAATGATGAAAAAATCCACAGAATAAAGCATGCATCCAACAGTGCAACAGGTAGTACCAGGAAGAGCCTTATTTTTCCAGCAAAATCATTAATATTACCAAGATGTTCCACCAGCTCCAGTGCTTCTGCAGCCACAAAATACACCAAACCAAGATGAAGGACTCTTGAGGTTATACCACCAAGTGTTGGGCGAACAACATCATAACCCAGAGAAACCACCAGAAGAAGAAGCCGTGAGACTGTCTTCTTGACAGCAGTGAATGTAACAGCCCACAATGTAATTACCATAGGCCTGCTTCCAGTGGAATTGAAATTCGCATACTCAAAATACCACAAGGCCATTTCACACATTCCAAGTCCAATAACAGCAGTAATGTGGTAATGTAACTGTATTACATCTTTCCAATACTGTACAAACCGGAGAAACCAAACCAGACCAAGAAAAAGGTAAGCCAAAGACATCAAACCATAAAATGTCATTAAAGGCATCATCTTCCCAGGTAGATAACCGTCTGGATTTCTCCAAACAGTTCTTCCTGAGATCACAGTGTCCTTCAGCTGAGGATCACAAAACATGAAATACAAGTAATACATTCCAGTACTGTGTATGTCAACAGTTTGAATTACCATTTTAGTCTCTTCATCTTGCCCTTCGAAAAACGTCTGCAAGCGTTTAGGACCATTCGGGTCATCGGGGTTTTCTCGGATGATAATCTCTCCTAACTTGCAGGAACCTTTCTTGGCAAGCTCAGGCGTACAGCATATAGCATCAGAGTTCAAATAAGCACCCCCAATGTTATTCCTATCTTTTACCTTAACTATTATAGCTTCCACCAGCCCTGTCTTTTGTTGCATTTCATTCTTCTTCTCAACAGATTCTTTTGTTCTTCTAAAGGTGATGGACTCAAACCTGATCAACACACAACATTGAAGCGAATTAAAACTCCTTTTAACCATTCTTTTCCCCCTCACATAATAGATAGAATCCATGGATATCCACCACATTGATAAAAATTAAACCTTATGATTATTAATAATAATTAAAACAAAAAAAACATGTAAGCCAATGAAATGTGAAAGTTCTGCTACAATTTCATTAGCTAATTTAAGTAACAAATCAAAACATCTTTATCATTTAGTACATTAACTTAATCAGAAATTAATATTTATAAAAATGAGTCAATCGGGTCATCCAAGGACCAAAAAAAAATGATTATTTTAATGGAAAAAGGTTACTAGGAAAAGAGAAGCCCAGTTATATGTTTCCGAAGAAACAAACGGATCAAACATTCATTGGCATTAGTAAAAACAAAAGAGGGATATATACACCTGATGAAGGATTTGCCATTGAGCTCAGAGGATGGAGAGTCGTTGAAATATGAGAGTTTGGAAGCATAGAGACCCTCACTGCCTCCATGGAAGAAGAAGGAATTAGAACGGTGGATAAAGGTGTCGTTTTGATAGTCATGGATGGAAGCTGCCACGTGAGTGATTGAGAAGGGGAGAAAGAGGATCATGATGATGAACAAGTACCCATTTGAACACAGATCAACACCATCATCCACCATCTTCATCTCTGTCTCTCTCTCTCTTTCTGTGCGTGGGTGAAGAGTGAAAACTGAAAAGATCAGAATTTGCAGTGCGAGAGAGAGTGAGGTTGATGGCAGATTTCTCAAATAATAAAGAAATGCCGATTTGTTAGTGTCGTACGAGAATATGCAGCATAGAGCCATTACTATGTTGTGGCATGAAACAAAAACTTGTATTAAGTTCCCAACCACCTTTTTTTTTTTTTTTTCAACATGTTTTTATTGAAATAATGAATAATTTTTTAGTCTTTATATGAGATTTTTTTAATTTAATTTTTATAAATAAAAAATTTATATATCAATTTTTATATAAAATTTTATTTCCTATAACACGTAACGAGATTAAATTATTTTTTATTTTTATATAAAATATTTTTTTGTAATTTAATATTTATAAAAAAATGTATATATCAATCCTTATATAAAATTTTATTTTTAATTTTGTTTTTATTAATACAATAATAATTTTTTACCATTTGTAGAGTAATATTCTGAATTCTTAAAAAAAATTATATTTTATTTCATAAATTTTTAATTTATGATGTCAAATTTTATTATACAAATTAATATTTTTTTTTATTTTAAATTTGTGTAATAATTATTTTGAGAAAGTTTCGTGTCCTAATTTATTTTTATATAAACATTATTTTTAATATTTTTTTTATCTCAAATAATACTACCTGTCTTTATCGTATTCTCATAATAATTTTTATATCTTCCTTTATCATCCTTGTTTTAATGCTATTTTTTTAAAAAGATAATCAGTAACTGTAAATAAAAATAAAAATAAAATAATAGTAATAATTTAAAGAATGATTTTGATTTTTTTATAAATGTACTGATGATTTAGAAGAAAATTTTTCACTTTGTACACAACTTAAGAAAACATGACCAAAATTTAAAATATTGAAATAAAGATAACAAGAAAATGGATAAAAATTAAGATGAAATATGATAAAGTACAATAATTGATATTAGAGATGAAAATATTGAATATAATACTTATGTAAATATGAATTAAGACATAAAATTAAACATAAAAAATATGAAATATAATATAAAATTTATTTTAAAAAATTAAAATAGCACTTTAAAGATAATAAAAAAATATGACATGACATTAATATTAAATTGTGAATCATAATAATAAAAATAAAATTAAAATAAATTTTTATTTAAAAATTAATATACATATTTTGTTTACCTATAAAAATTAAATTACAAAAAATAGTCTCAAGAATTAAAAGACAATTTAAATTTATTATTTTAGAGATTTAATGTCACTGTAACAAAAATAAAATTGAAAATAAATTTTTATATTAAAATTTATATATAATATCTTATAAAAAAATAAATTAAAAAAATTGTATAAAAACTAAAAGATTATTTATCCTTTTATTATAAGTTATAAGCTATCTTAAATTTTATTAAAATAGTAAATTCAGGTTTTCACGCGAAAGTTAATTAATTATAAATTAGTATGTTGTATAAATTAATATTACTTTATATGGTTAGCTGGTGATAAATTTGAATATATTTTGAAAAATTATATTTGCGATATATTTTGTCTTTTTTTAACTGTTTACGTGTGTGTCTTTTTTATTCAACAATAAATGTTTTGCAAGCTTTTTATATCAAATAAAATCGATTTTTTCAGCTAATTATCAAAGTATTTTAGTTCGTCTACAAATTATCATTAGCACAGTATTTTATTATTCAAATTAATTTTAAAATTTAAAATGTCAAATTCTTGTATTATATATATATATATATATATATATATATATATATATATGCATGCTAATATTTAAATGATAAACATTATTTTTATAATAAAAACAGTTATATTTATTTATAATTAGATAAATATAAAAAATTTATTTTATAAATCTATTATAAAAATAATATAACTCTTCCTAAGTTAAGAAAGATTTAAGCAAAATAAAATAATAGGCAGAATCTATACTTATCTCAGTTTAGAGTTTTGACGTTGATGAATCATAATTAAGTTATTCCAGTTAGGTGTGTGTTTAAAGTTATTTTAATAATCTCGTAGACATAGATTTAATATAAAAGTTATAATTAATAATATTTAAATGAATATAAATTTATGACTATTTAAAGATGAATTCAAACACATTTATATATTTACTAAATCTTTATTTTAGCTTTTAAGACAATAAACATCAGATATTTTAATCTTTAAAATTTTAAAAATATTATATTAATTTATGACTTTATCGTCATTGTGGATGTGTTTTTATAACGTATTATTAATTGATCTCTTTCGCAGCATATAATCAAATACTAGATTCTACGATAGAAAAAAAAAAGTGAATACAGTTTACATTTTAAATTTCTGTTACACTCCATACTTTTTATACACATTTAATAGAATCGAATTGTATTTTTTTTAAATTAGATTTTTAATGATATTCAAGTAATGGATTAAAATGAAATTAAGGATAAAAAATTAGACTAGGAAAGTTCAAAATTGTTGTCTAGACTAAACTTTATGGGATTTTTGAAATTAAAATAATAAAATAATATATTAGTATAAATATAACAGGTTAATTATTTATTTATTTTTATACAAGTTGTATAATACTTTATACACTTGTGTATTGGTTGACAAGGTAGGTGTTCAAACTTTGTAAGATCATTAGGCAAACCTCAAGCTTCACTTCATCGCCCCAAAAAATGACAAAATATTAAATAATTTTTAATTTTCAACTAGAAGAGATAATTTGAATGATAAAAATAAAATAAAATAAAAGGTTTGACACTTGTCCTAATTTTGGTCAAAATCAGAAAATAAATTAAAAAATCTACAGTTGTATTTGAAAGTTGAAACCGCTGGCGCACATTGCAAATGGAAAGCATGTTAATTGTTAAAATTGCTTATTTTAATCACTTTTCTCTTAATTTTTGTTCATTTATCTTTTCTTTTTCTCTAATTTGTGATCACTCCACTCAATCGAAAAATTGGACACAAACAGTCTCAATTGTTAAAAAATTATATTTTTAAAATTTTAAATTCTAGAACTCAAATTGAAAAGATGAAAAAAAACAAAATGGTTACAAAACTAAAATATCAGGTATTTAAGTATGTAAAGAACAACTTATCTTTAAAAAGAAAATAAAGAATAAAAATGTAATAAAAATATTGATAATTAATTTTTGAAAATTGAGTGTTAATCTAGATAGCTCTAGAAAAGTTAACTTTTTAAAGTTATAGACTTGTCAGCTTGCTCTCCAAGTTACAAACTTCAAACTAAACTATAAGATTAAATCATAATAACTTTTAAAATATAAAAAATTATAAATTAATTTTAACTAAGAGAGATATTTTACTCAATATTTTACTCTTATAAAAATATTTTAAAAAATTATATAAATTAAACTTCAGTAACCAGCCAAAAGTTTTTTTAAAAAAATAAAATATAAATTAATTTTACTGTGTGAAAAAACTATCTAATTGAATTCTAATAATTATTCGAAACGATAAACTGCTACAACGTAGTGCGACGATTGAAAGTAGATAAAGCGACATTTTTTATCGAAATTTTTTGGGTTTTTAATTTAATTAATATACTATTTTCTTATCTAGTGATTTTTTTGTTACGTCACGAAATGTATTGTTCTTCCATAGATGATACCATTTTTTTTTTAATTTAATATCGCATATTTTAAATTGATACACTGTAACGATATATGATATACGCATTTTAATGTTTATCTTCGTGTTGAGACTATATCTTTAATTGAATAATTTGAATCGAAATTGATAGCACAGAGAAAATTGAGCGTACCTTGTGGAATAAACAGAGTATACTGGGGTGAGTAAAAAACTAAGTAGTAGTAATGAGAAAGGATGATTCCAAGAACTCAGGGGTTAACCACTAATTGTACGTTCAAAGTGTTGCTGCGAAGAATTGGCTCTTGAAGAAGAAAAGTAGATGCTTGGGTCACTCCTTCAAACCTTGAAAATTCATCAAACAGGTCCAACGCAAGAAACGGTTTCAATGGGGCAAAAGGGTCTTCCCTAGACCAATCGATAAATAGAAATTTTTTGTTGAAATTCCAAGTAACGTTGACCCAAGACCAAGTCCTTCTTTCCACACATGTTCACATTTCTCCTTTTCATTTTCAATCTTAAATATTCCATAATCAATACCTTTTTATGTCCTATGATTCTAAAAAATTTTATTGCTCAACTTTTTTTTTATGCAAAACTTTGATATATTACTTCAACTAACCATTTGATGTTTCAAATATGTTTGACATTTTAAAATGAAAAATTATATATTTTAATTTTTATATTTAATGAAAAAACAAATTTTTACCCCTCTTTCTAAAATTGCAGTGCTTGTTTTGACTTTTTAACGATTAAAAACGAATAGAATTAATTTTTATAAATTTTTAAAAACCGGTCAAATTTAATGAATTAAACATATGTTTAAGCTTTCTTTTCTTCTTTAATTTTTACTTTATTGTGTAAACGCAAAACATATGTGTGTGCTCAGATAGTAAGTTTTCCCTCTAAGAGACAGAACCAACGTAGAAGCTTACCAAGAAACTTGCTCTTCTTAACAACCCCTTTATATATTTTCACAGAGAGTTCAAAATCCATGGCCAGCCAAACAGAGCAGAAAATCTCAGAAACCATGGAAGAGGTTGTGAATTCTACTAAGCATGCTTGTGAATTGGCACGAAACCTCGAACCAGAAATTCCCAACATGGCCAACCAACCTAACATGCTGTTGTTGTCCATTGATGAAGCAATGAAAGCATTTGGTGCTGCCAAAGAAAGACTATTAACCATGATGTCCCAAGAAGGCCTAATCATAGCACCCTCTTCATTTGCTTCAATGTTGCCACGTGATGAAACACCTCAGGGTCAGATTGGTGCAAGTAGTGTTACCTCAATGCAAGAATTGATGAGTTCTGGAAGTTATGCACACAACATGGATCAGTTGTTACTAATGCAACAACCCTTTGATGTGAGAGCCTTGCTTGAAAATAGGGGCACCCTTCAGATTGGTGAAATGGGTAGGAAGGATTTGGAAGGTTCAGATAGATCAAAAGGGTCTGAAGGAGAAATGCAAGGAATTGAAGCCTCACCATCAAGATCACGAAAAGGGTATGCACACTTTTTCTGTCTTTTTGTTTTTGTTTTTAAGAATATGTTAACATCTGTCTTTAACCACGATTTTAAGTAATTAAGAGTAATAAGATTTTATGATATTAGATATTTGATGTAATAAGTATTCATTTTATAAAATTTTATTACTCTTAGATTTTTAAATCGATGATGCTGTGACAATAAATTATGGTATTTATATGACTATAGTTTATGCAAACGTAGAGGAGCTTGTCGTGTTTTACTTTTCCTATGTTTAGGGTCCAAAAAGAATGGATTTCAATGAACAATTAGGCCCTGTCTAGGCATCAAGGAACTAAAAACAGTAAATTTCATGTAGAAAGTGGAACTTGAATTAATGAGTGTAAGAGTCTCATAATGCACATCTAGCTAGCTATTATGGGTAACTAGTTTTTGGGTATAATTGCCTTGCTCCTTAGGTAACTAGTTTGTGGGGATAATTGCCTTGATCCTTGGGAAACTAGTTCATGCAATTGCTGAAGAGCTTGTCCTGTTTTTGTCCACACCATTATACGATCGTGGATGACTTACACTTCATTTCCCCACAATAATTGAAAGGAAAAAAAACAAAAGTGAAATGCTTTTGGGTTTTGGAAGCTTTAGTTTATAACCCGTACACGATTATTGCTATGTAACCAAAAGGGTACTGACTCAAAAAAGTGAAATAAAATTTTCCAAGGTCTTTCTTAGGAATTAGGCGATAATAAGTCACACGGATATTTCCAGCTAATTACACTAGTTGATAATTGTATCACTTTGCATATGTTTCACAAAATCTAATTGGTTAATGCAAAATCTCTTCTCAAAATGGTAATTTCTTGGATATTGATCTAATAGCTGTGTTTCACATTAATTAGAAACAGGAAAAATGATCTGAAAAAGAGAACAATATTGCTTCCTGCACCACAGGTTGGAAACATAGATATGCCTCCAGAGGATGGTTTTACTTGGAGAAAATATGGCCAGAAAGAGATACTTGGTACCAAATTCCCAAGGTATGATTAATTAATTAACTATCCAATCAACTGAACTCGTCAACTAGCTCTATAGCATAAATTGCAACACCTAAAATGGACCCATGCATGTCTATATTTGATCCCTTGAATGGTTAAAAGCATATACTAATTAATATTCTACTACAAAAATATCCGACAATCATAATATGGTTGTTGTTGCTTATATAGTTTGACAGGTTCAATTCAAAGTCACCTTTTGTTCCATGCATCTACCATCCAGAACAACTTTTACCTTTCTTTCGAGATTTCTTGCTCAAGTCTGAAAAATTCAGTAGCACATGTATCAAATCTCCCAGAAAATTGACTCGTTCACACATGATATAAGTAGTTGACTGGTTATGTTTTTGTATATATTCATGCCTCTTCACATTATCTAATTAACTAATCAGTACATTGACAACTTGGTAAACAAATTGATAGCCGAAGACAAATAGCCCCCATTTTTAATTACAACCTAAAAAGAACAAACGCATCAATTTTTTAGTATCCCTTCATTAATAATTAATTAGTTAATGATGCTTCATTTTTTCTTAAAAATTGTCCTTTCCAACACATTTTTTATTATTAATTAAAATTTATTAAAACTCATACAGTTACATGATTTTATAAATTTTAATAAATTTCAACCATTACAAACGAATTAGTAACATTAATCTTTTGAAAAGTTTTTTATTTTTAATTTTTTCTTTTCAGGGCTTACTATAGGTGTACCCACCAGAAATTATATGCATGCCCAGCTAAGAAGCAAGTACAAAGACTCGATGATAATCCTAACATATTTGAAGTAACATACCGAGGTGATCATACATGTCACATGTCATCAACAGCACCATCATCATTTCCACCACCACAACTTCTAGTAGATATGTCAAAGGACATTACTCAAACTCAAAGCACAATTTCCCCAGAATTGTCTCCATCATCAAAAGTTTCAGGGTGGTTGTCACCGGTTAACCTCAGCCTCCACAGTGGCAGTGGCGGCGGCGGCGCTGGTCCCTCTACTTCAAAATATGGTACTGATTATTTTGTGGCTGATATGGCTGATGCTATGTTCAACTCGGGTAGCAGCAGTGGCAATAGCATGGAATGTCTCTTTCCTTCCACTGATGATAAATGGGAAGCAGGTGAGAAGAAAAGCTGAAGAATGTTATAATTAATTTTAACTTTAATTTACTTTCCAAGATTTTTCTCATACTAATTTATACATATACCATGTTGTACTTGCTTAATATAATACTTGTATGTGTTTAATTCTTGTCTAATACTTCAAAAGAGAGAGGGTAAGTTGGAGTTATTTTTTTTCTCATCATGTAATATTTGCAATTTTGCTGAATAAAATTTTATTATTAGAACAGTTAATTTACATATACACAAACACACCTTAAATTAAATGATTAGTACAATTAAGAAAATTAAGCATTAAAAAATCACTAGTTAGAGGTAGCACTTTACCTTACTTTGCAGCCTATATGATGATTTAGATGTTTCCCACAATCCAGATTCACGAATGATCTGAGGTCAACTCTTGGAGAAAATATAATAAAAATTATTTTTTATTATTTTGTTTATTATCATTTATTGATTTCGATAACGGGGACTATAAATTTTTGTGTTGTCCCAGCTTAATGAATACAAAATTTATTTAATTTTATTCTTACATTTATATTGTATCTTTGTTATCATCGAACTCATCACTTTCCCTCTTTAGATGGGTCCACAGTTGCTACTGTATCCAACTTAAGAGATGAACATAAAAAAGTTGGTGTTGCTAATTCTTTATAGAAAAAGGTCTGCATGCTAAAATTTTCAACTAAAAATTTATACTGATTAATATGTTTTAATTATTAGTTAATCATATGTACTGGAAAAGTATTTTTCATCAGTTAATAGATATGTATTATTACTTAATGTATGTTATTATTAATTGGCATGATATAAAAACTTGGTGTGCAAATGATAAACCTACTTTTTTATTATTCACTAAAAGAAAACTTCGTGGTTACGATTATTTTTTTTGTTAATTTAATATACGCCTTACAAATACCATAGATGCTAGTGGATGCAAGCATTCAGTGATGTGTGTGTGTGTGTGTCTTTATGCATTAGAGTTTGACTTTTCTATATTAGCTAACAAAACTAAATTTGAATCATATAAAACTAAAACCTTACATTTATTTGTTTTGGAATTAGAATTATGTTTATAAAATAAAAATGTAAATCCAAATATATTTTCTATTTGGTGTACGTCTTTAATTACACCAGTTCAATAATTTATTTTGAACTTTGTCTATCACAATTCGTGTGGTTATATATTTAGTTAGGGTTTTATTATTATATTAGTTTTTTATACACACATGTATAAACAGAAGGATTTTAATACTTAACATTGAACTTATATATATATATATAAAGTTGATTAAACTTAATTTAAAAATTATATCTATATTTTTTGTACAATGTATCAAAATTAAATTATTATAAAAATATATCGATAACTTATTTACAGTATTTTATAAAATTTGAGAGAATGAATTATGTGACTTTGTTTATGAATTAAATTAATGTGTATAATCAAATGCACCCCCAAAAAACTAAATAATCTTATGATAAGAAACAACTATATTTGTGCACTTTAATTCACAGTGGCTGCAAAGACGCAATTAATAGTTTTATATCTTGTTCAACTTAATGCATAATACAATAGAAAATGATTGTTTCACACTGTAAAATACAATAAAGAAATATTTGAAAAAATATGATGATGAATGATATGATAAAAAAAACCTAAAAAATGAATGTAAAATTATAAGAATTATACTATAGTTAATTAAACATGGTAAATAGGGTGTATACATGTATATATATATATATATATACATGTATACACCCTGCAAATTTCAAATATCGTCAGGTGTAGGAGTAAGCAAAATAAATTGTTCACAATGATTACTTAGTTTATGAATATAAAATATTGTAAACCAAAATCCAAAACACTACCATGTATTGTGCTTTATCCCAGTAGAAGTTTACATCGATTTTCTGTCACTACTTTCTCATGCTAACTGATAATTAAACATAAAGTGATACATAAAAAAAACATCAATTTGATACAAATATATATAAATTATTTTCTTAAAATATTCTGTGGCATCGCTTTTCCGTGTTGAAAGGGGGAGAGGCTAAGGGACATGTTCAACGCAGGGCCTTAATCAAACTCTTGCAATGCTAGATTCTGAAAATGACCCATGTGTTCATTTGTTAAAATGAGAAATATCATTTTTATACTTTTTAAAATACACTTTTTTATTAATTTTTTTCCAAAAATTAAAATATTTGTCTTATAAATTAAAATTTTAAATTATTAAAAATTGTAACATTTAATATTATTAATGTATAATTTTAGTAAAAGTTTGCAAATATTAAAAAAATGTGTTCTTATCTTTCCTTTTTGGGGAAAGCACATATTCTAAATAGATTTCCACGATCGATTACCCTCCCTATACGTATATATACATCGTATTCGATTTTCTGGACGAGACAGTTGTATTGCATAATATATGGCACTTAATTGTTGTTCTAATTGCATGAGACAAATTAGAAACAATGGTCAATATTTAGTTTGGAAAAAATCATTAGTTCGATCTCAAGCTTATCAATAACGTTATTCAACCCACACATGTGTATTGATGTCGTTGGTTATCTATTTGAATAGTAGTTCCTTAATGTCTCAGTCTCTCTTTCAAGTTCCAAGAAAATTTCCAGTGAATGTTCTTCGGGTCTTCATGTTCGTTCATGCATAGCCTTAATTGAAAGGTGAATAGAGAAATCAAAGGCTAACGATCAATACATATACATAAGATAATCACTGTTCTTTTTTCAAAGCTCGTGCGTGGCACATACATCGCATCAGATTGATTGATTGATTGATTGATTGATTGATTATTTATTTATGACTCGTAAAAAATTGTAAATCCAAAATCCAAAATTTTCTGATATGTATCCTGTCATTTTCTCATAAGAACATGGAAGTTTCTGAGCTTTGGATTTGGAAAGATAACAATGGAGTTTTGTTTTACTAAATGAGCGAGGTGAGTTGCTTGAATCATACATGGTCATTAAATTTGATTTAAGAAAACAAGTAAAAAAACTTTAATGCAGGACGAAGGTCTCTAGATTTATTTTTTTAATGTTGAGTAAATAATTAAATTACTTTAAAAAAATATAGACTCGTCCCTAAATACTAAATTTTTTTATTACTTAACATGTATTTATAAATTACAAATATGATTTTTGTCAATTATGATTTAGTAAACATTTAAAAAAACATAAAAATAAATTATGATTGTCACTCTTTTTTAAAATTTTGTTTTAATAAAAAAATCAGTTTATTGTAAAAAGTTTTATCATCAAATTCATGTTAAAAGTTCTAATATGATAAAATTTTATCAAACAAGTTTTTATTACATTGTTTATTCAAACATATTCTTAATATGATTAATTATATATTTTATAGAGATTAACTTTACTATTTGCTACTTAAAAAATTCTACTTGTTAACCCATTTTTATAATTGATTATTATTTAAAAAGTTAAAGCACTTACCTAACAAATGAATCACATTTTTAAATATTACTTTGTCTTAAAAAAATAAACAAATCACATAAAGTGTACTAACATTCGTCTTTACTATTTTATATTTATTTTCTCGTAACATATTAATATTATTATGTTATTAAAAAATATGAGATGATTTGTGAAAAAAAAGTTATTAATAAATATTTAAAAAAAAACATTGACTAAGGAACGAATGGATTAAAATTTTTTATTTGAAATCACATTAAAATATATTAAAAAAATTATGAGCAAAGTACATTAATAACACTTCTTAATAAAAAAAAATATTTATTTTTAATGTTTTAGCCAATATATTCAGCATCGTGTTAGCATTTGCCTTATTCAAATCCAAATTCCAACAATTAATTATAAGAAACTAATCAAGCATTAAAGCAACTGACTTTCACCAAAGGGAAAGTCAGTGCCAAAATGAACGGAGTCCACCCCAGAATCCATGTCTGTACGTTATTTTTTTATTTTAAGTAAATTATTAAATTAATTCTATGTAGAATCGGATGTTATATCCCTAAATAATAAAATCTGCGATTAAGGTGTTTGAATATATATTTCATCATCCAAGTTAGTTTCTAAGATTCCTGATAGGGAAGATAATTAGATTGAAAAAAATGCACTAATTTTTATCATTAAACCCATATTTAAAAATTACAAATATAAGGAGCATATGATTTTCACAACTTCTTTTTAATTTATTTTAATAAATTTATCTATATAACTTGTCAAACTAAGTTATTTCTAATTTTTTAACAAATTTTTATAATTAAACTTATATTATGCAGTCTAATATAATGAAAAAACTATTAAATAAATAAATAATTAAACTTCTTATCATAATACACCCTAAACATATGACCAATGTTGTACCTTATAGAGATTAATTTGGCTATTTATTTACTACTTTTATATTTTCTCTCATAACATATTACTATTATTATGTTATTAAGAAATATGAGAAAATTTATTAAAAGGATCTTACTAACGCCTGTTTTAGGAATATTACTTAATAAATTAATAGAAATAAATTTTTTATTCAAAATCACAAGAGAAATACATTAAAGAAACTAATAATCAAAGTACATGAATAACACTTTTTAATATTTTTTTAAATCCTTAACAAGTATATAAAGACACTTAATTAACATTTTTCTTATTCAAAACCTAATCCCAACAATTAATCTTAGGAAACTAATCAAAGTGGCTTTCATCAAAGTGGAAGTCAGAGCCAAAATGAACAGACTCCACCCCAAAATCCATGTCCAAGCATTGAGAGTTACGTGCACCATTATCAGACACCATCTTTAAGGGCACATTAATGGCAGGCTTGTATGGTTCAAAATCTTTCAACTCAGACCACAGGCTATGATCCAGCTTCTGATCTTTAACATCACCTGGTGTGTCCTCTTTGGGTAATTCTTGTTTTATAGTTAGGCTTGGTGCGCTAATATTGTGGTGATCATGATCATTTGGCACCTTCTTGTTAGGATCAGATTTAAGAAGATATGATTCCCAAGTTGTTGAATCTGTAATCGAATTTGTAGCCTTTGGAGTGGCATTGCATGTGTGACAGCCAATGTATGTAGTTCGATACATATCAGGATTTTCTTGATCCCTTTGCACTTGTTTGGTTGCTCGACAATCTTCATCATACTTGTGACTGCACCTGAAGTAGCTCCTGCAAATTATCATTAACCACAGGTGAGTTAGATGACTAACCTTTTTACAGAGACTTGTCATTTTTTTAACATAAATATTATGACTTTACACCATAATATAATTCATTATGGTATATATTCTGTACCAACAAATTTTTCAATTACTTCTTTTCTTTATTTTATTCCATATTTTAAGGGAGTATTTGATAGAAAATTTCTTTTATTTTTCTTATTAATATTAAGTTTAGAATGCTAAACTTTTATGTTTGGTATGAATATTTTAAGAAATTTGTTCAATATTAAGCATGTGAGAATCTAAGATTTTTATGATATAAAATTACAATTATACTTCTTAATATTTTCAAACATAAACTTAGTTTATGTTGTCTTATCTTCTCATTATATATCAACTATTATTACTAACTTTCCATTATAATTAAAAATTATTTGAAGCCATTACCATTACAACTCATATTGGTAAACTTAAGCGGTAGTATCACATAATACACATTATTTTATATAGACAATTGATGAAGTTGATTTTTTTTATATTAGTTTTTAAATAAATATAAATTTAATTAATAGTGTAATATCATAAATTGTAAAAGGAAATTTCAAAATAAAGATATTTTTTAAAGAAGCATTCATATTTCTTAAAAAATCTATTTAAATCAAGCATGATATTGAAATACTATAAAAAAAACTGTATAGCATTTTCAAAAACATTTAAGACATATTCAATGTATTTTTAACATTTCAAAGAAATATGATTTTAAGGAAACATAACTTTTAAGAACTAGAAAAGATTTTTTGTACCCAACAGCCCTTAAGATTTTTACATCGGAATTAAGGAATAGGTTGAATATTTTATTTTAATTAAAATTAATTATCATTCCTTAATATTTTTATAGTATTTTATTTCTCTTATTAGTTAATGGGGTTTGTCAATTTCAACAGTTAGAGTTGAATTTATATATTTAAAAATAATAATTTTTATTAAAAATAACATATTTATTATATTGAAAATATAAGAATATAATAAATATCATTTTAACAAATTTTACTATTATTAATTGTTTAAACTCAATTTTAATGATTAATATTAATATTTTACTTAATTAATTAATATTTTGTGGTGTAGAATTTTATTTTATTTTTGGTGTAGATTAGACAAAAGCTTAACTATTAAATTTTTTTGAGCTAATTAAATTGCATTCTTTATTTCTTTAATTTGAGTCTAGTTTCTCAAATTTTTAAGTTAATTATTTTTTAAAATCTTCACTTGCAGTTTTTAATGTTCCCTCCTTAGAATTTTTTTTAACTTAAAATTATTAATTTCTCATTTTATTTATTAAAAATCTTCACAAATTGAATGAATAATCCAAGATTTACGTTAGAATATCAAATTACACCCAAAATATATATATTACTAAATAAATAAATTTACTTAATTTTAAATAAAATAATTGAATTAACTAAAACAATTTTAGAAACTAAAATTACATGTGATTCAAATTAAAGGAACTACAAATATAAATAAGTAATTTTTATTAGTATCATTTGTGTGTGTGATAGTATTCTCAACTGGTAGCTAGCGGTCTCTTAGTTGATTTCTACTTTTGGTAGGAATCGAAGACTCAGAAAGGAACTGTGTCCCTGGGTTCTAGCAGTAATCTATTAAAGTTAATTTCTAATGTGAAATTTCTATATAGACCACTATGATGAAAAACATTTCTTCTTGGAAGATAGCGAAAAGAAAGGAAATGGCCCAAATAAGGAAAAAGACAGTAACTTGTTATGCAGCTTGATTTTGTATAAATAATCATGTCTTCGTATGCTGTCTCAAAATTTATATCTTCCATGCACAACAAAAATCAAAAGGAGATGAAAACAATGATTATATTATACCTAGGGAATTCAGAATTCATGATTTCCTTCTGTCCATACTTCCTCCATACATAATTATCATCAGTGTTGTAGGAGACTATGGTCCATGTCTGTGCTCTCTTCCTGCGCAACAACAGTTCAGGAATATATGCCCCATGCATGTCATCTTTCATGTACTATATACAACATAAAATAACATTCAACATATTCCACAGCAAAATTAAGCATCTATGATTAACCAAAAAACAAGGGAAATTAAACAATCCACCTTGGATCTGGACAAATCTCCTGAACTAATTAAAATCAACATATGGGAATATTATATAACCATTAATTCTCAATCTATCAATTTATCAAATCCACCTAATATAACCTAAACAAAAAAGAAAAAAGAAAAAGAAATCACTCAAGTGACACAATCTATGTCCGTACTTCCGTACACAATCCCAATTCACCAAATTTTCACAGACCCAGTAACCAAAATTGCCGACACAACAAGGGTTGTTCATTTGACGAAGTGAACTACAACAACATGTGTCACTTTAGAAAATAAAAACAGTAGATTGGTCAGAATACAAAGAGAAACAATATAACCTTCTTTTGTAGCAACCTCTTCCACCCTTTTGGGATCTCTTCCTACTCTCACTAGAATCTTCACATGTTGGATCATATCCGGAACCGGCCACCTGGGACCCATTTTCGCCGGAACTGAGAAGATTCCGGTGAGCCACCCCACCTGCAGAACCAAGTTCTGAAGAAGAAGAAGTTATGATAGAAATGACCTCATTGAAAGATCTGAGTACATTGGCCAAAAGCTCCTCAGATGACAGATACCCTTCACTCCCAAAGGGTTTCTGAAGAAGAACCTTGAGTTGTGTAGCAGCTTCTTGACCCTGAACAAGCTCTCTTATTATCATTCTCTCTCTATTGGCTGAAACACTTTCAGTTTCTGAGGAAACAATTTTCATTTTCTTGCTTGATTACTTTTTCTTGATTTTTTTTTTTTTTTACTTTCTCTTTTGGATTGGCAAGAGAAAGGTAGCTGCAGTTTTGGGTTTGAAGAGAAGAAAGGGATATTATAGTGTTTGAGAGAGAGAGAGAGAGAGAAGAAAAGCAAGAAAGATCCAAATAAATGAATGAAAGATGTAGGGAAGGAAGCCATTGATGTGAAATGTGAAAATAGATATTATTTTCTATCAAATAAAACATTTTTTTTTCTTGGGGGTCAATTTTGCTATTCTAGCTTTTTTTAGTTTGATTAGTTACTCGAATAACAAAAAGTTTTAAATATATAAATATAAAAATTAAATTTGTTTTTTATTTAAATATTTTTTATAATTTCCTTAGAATCAGGTCTTTTGATATTTATATACAGTTAATTAAATAACATGACGAATAAAGAGAATAATGCATGTTAATTATTTATATTAACGAGAGAGGCCAAAATATTTAAGTTGTATTTTATTATAAATTTTCTCAAAATTCTCCTTTGCCTCTTTATTTTTCTTTATGAGACTTAAAAATTGTGCAACCTACTTTTTTACCGATACTTTTAATAACTTTCTTTATGCAAATTTAAATTATCTTAATTAATTAATGATTCTATTTTTCTCAACGATCATACCCCAATCTTTTTAGACGCACTCATTTTATATTTTATCCTTTGTAATTTGATCTCATATTAAGTTTAATAATTTAATTTGTACATTTTTAATTTTTTCTCTTTATCCTTTTAATAAAAAATAGATATTAATTTTTAAAAATTTAATTAACTAATAAACAAAATATTTTATTTTAAAAACGATGGATTCATTTTAAAAAATAAATGATATTTGATTGATTTGATACGTTCAAGTTGAACGCATTATTGAAGAAGCGATAAGTACTTGACTTTGCCCGAATTCCGAAGCTACTTCGGATGACGTTTGATTGTGATGCTAAGGATGACGTTTAATATATGCACTGTTTTAACCATTTCTTACCAACAAATATTAGTATATTATTTTAAATATATTTTTATTATGAGTTGAAATTTATTAAAATTACAATTGTTTTATTTTTTTCAATAAATGTTTAAAAAATTATTAATATATATTATAATATTTATCCTTCTCTTTATTATGTTAGTTAAAGAGATACCGTTGTATTTTTTAATGGGTTTAATTAATATTAGATTAATTATGTAATTGAAAGTGTTAAATTTTATTCTAAAATTATTTAAATTGACCAAGTAGCTGTCTAGTAACAATCAACAAGTGGAACATACGGATGTGAGAATAATTAAAAAGTGGTGACTTATTATTATTTATTTGTTAATTTGATTTACTTAGTCGTTGAATTTACAAAGTACATTTATTCAACCAATTTAGTTGAAGCTGTATATAAATGTTTGAAAATATGCATTTTAATACACTTTTTAATGTGTGTATATATATATATATTAATTTAAATTTATTAAAAATTATAAAATTATTTCTATCATATTTTTATTTTAATGAAATTTACTTATTATTTTCTACTTTTAATAAAATTTATCTAATAATAAAAATATAATATTAATATTTGTCTTACAATAGTTGATACGACTAATATTTTTATATTATAATTATATTTAATCACACAATTTTTTTATCTATTTTAGAGTTTATTTTTAATAAGTTAAATAGAGTTATTTAATAATAAAATATAAAAATTAATGGCTTTTAAAATTTAATTTATTAAAAACTAATTATTTTTAATTTATGTGCTTGACTTTTTAAATAATTTACACTTACAGGTAAAGTAATTTTAACACTTTCCCAATCATACAGAACATTTATCTAATTAAACTATATTTTTTTAATATAAAAATATATTTTGATAAAAGAAACAAGAAAATAAATGAAAAAAATATCATAAAAGTATAAAATAAAATAAAATCTAAATAAAAATAATGTATGTATGTAGAAGTTTTAAATGTAATAGAAAATAAAATGTAGTATAAATATTGGTAGCTTATTTTTTATAAATAAATATTTTTTAAATTTTTTTTTAGAAAGTTAGCATTTTAAAGCTAAAAACTAATCTTATTTCTTATTTATTAAACAGTATTATTAGTTTATTAACTAATAGACTCATAAAAAAACTACAAATTGCTTTTTTTAAATAAAACTTAACTTATAAATAACAAATTATACACTTTCAGCTATTTTTCTTAGATAGTGCAAAATAAACTCATAACTTATGGTTATCGTGTCGAGGGAAACGCAAAATTTTTTAACAAAAAAAATAAATGATAAAAAATATAAAAAAATTATTTTAACAAATTTATAATATTCAAGTTTATATTTTATTAAAACTTTGCATACAGATAAAATCTATAAATAATAAAAACTATATAACAAACACTACACACTGAAAAGTAAATTTAAAGAAATGGTATAATTTTTTTATTATTTTAGAAAATATTAAATTGACTCTCAAATTAATTTTAAGTGTTATAAGCGCATGAACTACAGACATTTTGTGTATTTTTATAAAAGTAATCCCAAATTTAAGTTATAAAGTGTAAAATAGTACTTATATTAATATATTAAACGAAACTTTATTAATAACATTTAAAACAATTATTTCTTTCTAATTTTTTTTTAAGAGACCATAAAGTTTTAACTTCAAAATAGATAAATCTAAATACATATTAATACAATAAAACTTATTATTTACTAATAGATAAAAATAAAAAAATCAGAATTATATTTGTTAATATAACATTTGTCTGACAAAAATTAAATTATAATTATAAATTTTTAAAATCACACTAACAATAAAATGTATTGTACTAATATTTGATGTATGCTAAGGAAATCATTTGTTAATATATCTCCCTAAAGGTATAATTTCACGATGTTTATGTAAATAATTTATTTTTTATTATAAAATTATATTAGAAAAATTTTAATTTCATATCAAATTATTAATAAATGATAATTTTTTATAGCTAAAGTAAAATAAGTACTATACGACAAAATAAATTTACAACTAAGAATGGTTGTTGGGTAAAATAAAGTTTTATTATTATGTGTAAATTTAAATTTTTTTATATTTATCTAAATTTTTTATTTAACTTAGAGTTATAATTTATTATTTTACTTACCGTTAGATATAAAATAAATAAAAAATTTAAATTGAGTGCAAGAGTTTTTGAAATTATACCAATGTAAGAAAATTATTTCTCATATATATATATATATATGATTTTGAAAATTAAGATAATATTTATATTTTTATATATAAAATAATAATAATTATTAATATTATATTAAATATGTATGATAGATAATGAAAGTTAATAATCAATTCTAAAAAATATAAATGTTGTTTATTTTTAAAATATAAAAATATTTATAATTGTCAAATATAAAATATCATTTAAAATTAATTATTAATTTAAGAAAATATGAAATGTTTTTTAAAATTTATGAATAAACAGCAACACGTAAAAAGAAATTATAAAAGAATTTCTACATTTACGGTGATCATTATTTTCGGGGGTACAGTATGGGACACATCATTAATGAGGTACGACGGCTGGTCATCTACAATAGATGTGTTTCTATTATCTATATTCAGCAAACTAATTTTTGAAAAATTATTGATTTAAAACAATTTCTTAATTATTTAAATAAATTATTTCAAGATTTGTTAATATTTCTACTGATTAAGAAATACTCCTAATTATTTATTGTGCTTTTTTTTTATTTAAATAAAGATATATACACTCTTTTTAAGGTGAGAAAAAATATTTTTTATTAAAAATGTTTGTGTATGATGATGTTTTTTTCCCCCCTTAAAATGAAGTGATGTTGACAAATGATACGCCCTTTTGTCTCTAAAATAATAGCATTTTTTGGCTACTTTTTTTTATATTGTTTTTTTAAAAAATATTAAAAAATAAAAATTTCAAAAGTCACATATAGCCATTTTTAATTATTTTTTTAAATATTTAATTATTTTTAAAAAAATTGCTAGTCAATGACAATTTTTTTAAAAATAATCATATTTTTGTACTTTTACAAAAAAATTCTTATATTTTGAATTTAAAAAAAAAAACTTATATAAAAAAATGTTCTCTATTTAATAATAGTTATTTTATAATTTTAAAAAATTAATTTTTATAATTTTATTCTATAAATAATTACTATTTTAAATTTTATTTTTATCTTCTCTCTATTTAATTATTTATTGTATAAACAAATTTTAAAGTAAATATATTATAATTTTCACAACACTTTTGTAATATTACATTAAAGACTGTTAGATTCAATAATATTAGTACATACTTGTGGTCTAAAGTTGTGAAAAATATTTTTAGTTTTTTTAAATATTATTAATATATTAAAATATATTTAATTTTATAATTTTTAATAAAATATTATTATTTAGAACTTTTTATCTAGTAAACTTAAAAAAAAAAAAAAAAGTAACTCAGAGAATCTCATATTAAATTTATGTGCATTATTTCGATCCATAATTCAATCTAAAGAAATAGCATCATCAATAGTTTGTGCTAAATTGGTATATATGGTTCTCTCAAGTTTTGACCATGTTTTCTAATCCACCCAATAACACGATGTCATTAAGATGAAATATTACTTAATCAAGATACACTAATTTCTATAAATAACAAAAAACAAATCTCTTAAAGTATGCAATTTAATTTACATAAAAAACTCTTTTAAAATCTAACTTAGATATATGGTAGAGTATTGTTTATAAAAATATCCTTTTATCATGTAATGATAAAGACTCTCTTTTTAAAATAATACTAACTTCACTTAAGACTCACCAATAAAACAAAGAAATGTGAAATAAAACTTAAAAAATCCAAAGTGCGTAAGACAAAATTTATCATTATTAACATGATCTTGTTTGATTCTTTTGGCAGTGTATTTTCTATGTTAATGAATACTAATAATATTACAATGTAAGTTAAATAATATTATAATTGGTAATAGTAAGTAGGGTTGGTGGTGGTGTAGGGAGTGGCTCGTTACAATTTAGAGGTTACCATAGAATTGCAATTAAATGGTACAACTTTCGTGTTTTTTTTATTTTCTCACAAAATTCAAGACACTTTGGGAGAAAGTGATAAAGTTTTACTTGTACAAAAAAAGGATTATTATTCTAATACAATAGACCGTAAAATTAATGAAAAAAATGGCTTTCTTACAAATTTGGGGGAATCCTTTTGTAAAATTATCTAACTAGTTTCATCTTTTTTAAAAATGACTTCAAATTTTGTTTTTCAATGTGAAAAGGTTTGTAGGGGTTTTGGCATAATTTCTAGTAAATGTCTAGCAGCAACAAACAAAAATTTGGCAGTTTAACAGCAAGATATATTTATAAATCGCAAATTTCAACTTAAAAATAATAAAAATTGAGATAAGTTATATATATGTATATATTAAGAAATGTCTCGAAGCCTAAATATAGTCCAAGAATAATTCCTATTTATGGTTTGCTGGTCTAAAAAAATTTTGCACACTAATTTACTTTACATTAATTGCATTAGTTTTAATTTTTTAAAAAATACATTATACTTCACATGTACAATTTACATTAATTTCATAAAATTTATAAAAGTTACAGTAATATCTTAATTTTAAATGGTATTACTCCTCTAATGTGAAAAAGCTTAGAAAATGAAACGAGGGATACCCATTCTCAACCCTTCTTCCCAACTCTCCACCCACCAATTACACCATCTTCCAAAATCTAAACTACAACATGACTGCATTTCAACATGAGGACTACAACTTCAGCATTTTCCCAAAGCCTAAGCACAAAACTTAAGCTTCGTTTAAAGCAATTGCTCTATGCTGCCAAAACTACTGATCATCTGAAACAAACCCATGTTCTCTTTCTCAAACTCCTTACTCAACAGCAACCCCCTTATTACCATTACTTCATGGGTCGTTTGTTACTCCGTCTTCTTCACTTCACTGATGAAAGAACCAATCTTTGCTATGCCCACAAACTGTTTGCCACAATGCCAAGCTGCTCCAATAGCTTCCTTTGGACCTCCCTTATTCGTGCATTCCTTTCCCATCATACCCATTTTCGCCATTGCATTTCTACCTATGCTAGAATGCATCAAAATGGGGTTTTGCCATCTGGGTTCACCTTCTCTTCGGTACTTAGCGCTTGCGGGCGAGTACCAGCTATGTTTGAAGGAAAACAAGTTCATGCCAGGGTGGTGCAGTCTGGGTTTATTGGAAATAAGATTGTGCAAACTGCACTCCTTGACATGTATGCGAAATTCGGCTGTGTAAGTGATGCGCGCGGCGTGTTTGATAGAATGTGTGAGAGGGATGTTGTTGCCTGGACAGCAATGATTTGTGGATATGCCAAGGTTGGAATGATGGTTGATGCACGGTGGCTATTTGATAACATGGGGGAACGTAATTCTTTTACTTGGACTACAATGATTGCTGGATATGCAAATTGTGGAGACATGAAAGCTGCCAAGGAATTGTATGATGTCATGGATGACAAGAATGAGGTCACTTGGGTTGCAATGATAGCTGGTTATGGTAAGTTAGGTAATGTGAGTGAAGCCAGAAGGGTATTTGATGGGGTACTTGTGCCACATGGTGCATCAACTTGTGCAGCATTGCTTGCTTGTTATGCACAAAATGGATATGCAAAGGAAGCTATTGACCTGTATGAGATAATGAGACAAGAAAAGATCAAAATCACCGAGGTGGCACTGGTGGGTGCTATGTCAGCTTGTGCTCAACTTGGGGATATTAGAATGTCAAACACATTAAGAGATCATCTCGAGGAGGGTTGCTGTGGTACGTCCTTCTCTTATTGGTTCTGTTGTTATTTTGTCAATTGAATCTCTTGGGGTAAAGAATGTTTTGCATTAACCTTTGTTTTTTCGCTTGGTTGGAACCCATTGTCCCTTTATATCAGATAGGACACATATTGTTTCCAATGCATTGATCCATATGCACTCAAAATGTGGAAATATAAACTTAGCATGGAGGGAATTCAGTACAATGAGGTGCAGAGACACATATACTTACAGTGCAATGATCACAGCCTTTGCTGAGCATGGGCAATCACAAGATGCTGTTGATCTTTTCTCAAAGATGCAAAAGGAAGGATTAGAGCCAAACCAAGTTACATTCATTGGTCTCCTTAATGCTTGTAGCTCTTCAGGTCTTATTAAAGAAGGTTGTAGGTTATTTCAGATTATGACTGGGGTATTTGGTATTGAACCCTTACCTGAGCACTATGCTTGCATAGTTGATCTCCTTGGGAGGGCTGGGCAACTTGAAAGGGCATACAATCTAATAAAGGGGAATGCTACTAGTGCTGATGCAGCAAGTTGGGGTTCTTTATTGGCAGCTTGCAGGGTTTATGGCAATGTTGAATTGGGTGAGACTGCAGCTAGACATCTCTTTGAAATTGATCCTGAGGATTCTGGAAATTATGTGCTTCTTGCAAACACTTATGCATCGAAGGATAAATGGGGGTGTGCAGAAGAGGTTAAGAAGTTGATTAGTCAAAAGGGAATAAAAAAACCATCAGGGTATAGTTGGATTCAGAGAGAGATCAAGGGACAATATAAAGAAGAAGCACTTTGATTGTTAATTTTGGATTGTTAATTTTGGTCAGTCAGATATCCTCTTCAATCAATATGGTGATGTTTACTTGATCACTCATGTACTGGCCAACATTGCACATCATTCATTCTTGCCTTTACCTTGAAAGTTTTCAGTAATTGTGGAGTGAGCTTTAAATTCCCAGCTTTATTTCTGGGCCATGCATGTATCTGAGATATCAATATCATTGTGTAGGGGTAGGCCATTAAGTTATGAAGCCATTAAGCAAGGCTGTTAATCCATCTATAAAGGAACCAACTTCATGTACATGTTGTGGATGAGTGTGGTAATTGAGGAACATTACATGGAAAGAACAGTGGGGGCAGTCATATTCGATTGCTTTGACTTATAACTATCAACAAGCAGATATAGGGACAAAGATAGACATGGGGAAGAACACAGTAGGATTATCTCCAAGAGTACATCATTTGGGCATGCAAGGAACTGTAGAGGCTAGAAATACTCAAAACTCCCTCCCAATGCGACTCAATGCTTGTTGGTGATAAAGCTGCAGCAAATACATATCCTACATCGAGGTAATTTCCCCCCTTTTGTTTAATCTTTCTTCTGCATTTAAATCTGGTTTTCTGTTTGTGCATAGTTCAGTAACTGTGGCAGTATGACTACTTTTGGTATATACGTTGTTGAATAACTTCAAGTCTTAATAACAATCTCTTACCTAAGAAAAAATTGAAGGAGAGACAAAGAGATGAACAGTGAGAGATAAGAACCGGAAAAATAAAAAAATTTGATACAAAAAGATTTTGAAATATTATTTGATCAATTCAAAATTCGAGGAAAATGTCCTTATGACAAGGATTTTGTACACATAAAATTGTAAATGCATTGGATAAAAGAATGTACAATTTCCAGATAGTGATAGTGCTAAATAGTCCATGAATTTTTAGGAAACCATCAATTTGAATTGGACACTAATAATGCAAAATGTGGATTAGATTAATAAAGTTGAAATTATACATATATGTATGTATCATATATTAGTGTTCCTTTTCATTCTGAGAAATCTGTAAGTAATTTGATGGCTATGGATAGCAAATATATGACTAAGAAGTAACAGCTGTTAGCTTCTTGTTTAATTATAGAACATTAGTACTTCTTTGTACTGCTTTAACAGGTGGCCTCTTTTCAAGAGGTTCATGCTAGTAGAAGACTAGAAATTATTTATGTTATGGAGTATCCTGACATTTGGCCTCCTGATTTTGACTTTCTCATGTTCCAGTGATCATTGACCCTTAGGTAGCTTTAATTTGTTATGTTCTCCGGTTGTTAACTGAAACAGTGAGCAACGACAGTATATCTTTTTGTGACCTGTTGACATACAACTGGACATTTTTAAATAAAGAAAGAAGGATTAATACAACGGAAAAGTTTCCTTACACAACTCTAATGCAAATATACAACAATATATCTTTCACAATGCTTATCAGACATTGTGTGATAAAAAATATTTTAATTTGGTCTTTGAAAGCAGATAAATGTTCCTATTTGCTTTCTAGGTTGATCTACTTATTGAGTTGTGTGATAAAATTTTGATTCTAGAGGGATCACTCTTCATGCTATCAAATTATTAATCCCTTCTGCTGTTGGATTAGAATTTAGATTTCATCTCTGTTGTGAGATTCCCTAAATTTTATGTCTAGATATCATTTAATATACTTTTTATGCGTTTTACGGATGTATGCTTAGCCTCGTGAAACTAATGCAGCCATAGAAGATATGTTAGATTTTTCCAGCTATTTTAGTTTACACTAATATGCTATGAAGCAAATAGAGGTTAAACTTATCAAATGGGATATATAGAAAACTATTAACACAAACCAATGTTTCCCCTTCTCTTGAAACGGAAGGTATTTTTTTTCTTACATGCATGCTCAGGATTCATGGTAGAGGCAGTTATTTATTATAATGTATTACCATTGTTAACACAGTTGACAAGGGTATCAAATTACAACTGTGGTATAAAATACTGTTCCTCAGGGATTACGATGTCCAATACTAGCTTACAACAATAGTTAAGTCTTATCCCATTAGGTAAGGTATACATGGATCACACGATGCCATTGAGCTCGGTTAAAAATCAAATTTTCAGAAATTTGATTAATCAAAAGGTCTTTTTTATTGCTAACACTAGCTTGGTTGTCCAATACTAGCCTACTAATTTAAATTGCTTTTGACAGATCTAACAAATGAATGATTCCATATCATATAACTTTATTTACTTATTTTTAATGGTTAGAGCTGAAATCCATACAAAATTTCGTCCTTCTTTTCCTAGTGGTACCAAGCAACAATTTATTCTCAAGGAGCAGAATTTTACAACACATTACCACTCTTTTTCCTAAAAACTAATTATCAATTTGTTCATATCAATAGGAATTCAGTTAACATTGATTTCCCAATAAAAAAAAAGACTAGATAAAAGCAATAACATGGAAATGAACACCAAAAATAGAAATTTGATTAAAAATGTAGCCAAGAGTGCAATTCAAAATCTAGGTAGATAATTCTACCACTAACAATGAGGAAAACTTAAAAAACATAATAGAATAATAAGCTTAACACAGCAAAGGGATTGAGTCAAATCTTCTAGGAGCAAAGCTTGGATGCTTCCTTGTTCTTCTCATTCCAAAAAGTTCCTTTCTCCTCTGTCCCTTTGAATAGGGTTTTTCATCCTATTTATTCTTTTCTAACTGTTTTAACTTTTTATTTCAATGTCAGTGCAGGTGCACTCCTTTTCAGCACAAGTGTGCTGACTTCTGCAAAAATTCTCCCATTGTTAAAGCAGGTGCAAGGTATATCAGAAATAATTAAATAAAAAATTGAGAAATGCTAGTAATACACTCTCTACTATTGGTTAAAATTTATTGAAAATTACAAAAATGATGTGGGTCTCAATATTTTTCACTAATAAATTAATGTTTTTCTCTCATACTTTTGTAATTTTCAATAAATTTTAGTCAATAGTAAAAAGTGTGTTAAAGTGTGTGTTGCTAGCATTCTTCTGAAAAATTTTCAGCATTTCTCAAATGAAGTGATATAGAAAAGAGCAAGTGTGAAGCATTCGAAGCTCGACATGTGGAAAAAGTGGGCAATTTTTCCTTCCTAATTCTTTTTGTTTAAAACTTTTATTCCTATCTTGTGATGGTCTGAACTATTTTTCTTTCAGGAATGTACCAACATGCAGATTCCTCTCAAATTAGGTGCAAGACTGAAGATTGCAGAACAAAAGTCTGCTCTGGATTCTAGGGGATCATGGATCAGTTCCCGTTGGATGAATAAGATAAGATAAAAAACAGACATGAAAGATGGATGAGGACAGGATATGATAAGAGTAAGATAGAGATTTTATCTTACCATATGTTCGATGCATATTAAGATAACAAACTAAATAATATTATATTATTATATCCCATGTATTTCTAACCTAGGCTCCCTCCATACAAGGACGAATAAAAAATAAATAGACTTCAATTCATCCGTTATATTTGTTTAGAGACTAATTTCTTTTAAGACAAATATATTATCGAATAAATATCATCTCCTTTACTGTCAATACACTCAAAGAAATTGTTTTTTTAACTTCTATATTTTTCAACTGTGTTTGTCTCTGAATAGCTTTTTAATATTTTGAATGGCGTAAATGAATTTGCTTCTGCCCCAAAACAAAAACTTTTATTGTGTGTAGGTGAGTGGGCTTTCAAATAAGAGATCGAAGAAGCATTCTTTTTAGAAATATTGCTTATTGCAGATATCATACTTAGTAGTCTCGTCTCACTTTTATAGCTGATTTTTTCTGGAAAATATTTATCAGGAAAGACTATGAAATTAGGATAAGTACACTCATGTTGTTTTTCTTATTGGAGACTAGGTAATGACCTTATTGTGGATGTATAACTCCCATAAGAATTTAATTAACCATGTCCTTGCTTATTGAACTTTCAACTTCGCTACTTTTGTAGTTTAAAAGTTAAATTCAGTAATCAAATTATAAAGATTTGTTTGAAAATTTCTCAAATAATTTAAGAATTTATAGATAACTTAATTTCAATTATTAACTGATATTAGAAAGGACAAAATATAAATTCAGTTTTATAGATGCTGTTAATACGTTAGTACTGTTCAATTAAAATTAGAGTTTTATTTCGATAATATATAATAGTATTAAAGCAAGTTTTTTATATTAAAATAAAATTTTAATTTTAATTGGATAGCATTTACAAAAGAAAACATAAATTTTCTCCTATTAGAAATTGTTCTACTGTGGAGGAGCGAAGATGCTAATTTGTGGGTACTACTTGGAAACTTGCATGGCAGCCAACTTTGAGCAACTCACTCTCATTGTCATTGGCTACTGCATTTAACAAAAAATGATTCCTCAATGCACACGTAAAATGATTCATGCTGATGAATGTTGAACAATTTCTTGGACTATTAATATAAATTTCTTATGAGGGAAACTACCTTTTCCAGTCAATATTCACGACAATGATGGAACTAGAGAAGGTGATTAGGAGACAGAAATTTAACACGTCAAAAGCAAAATCAACAATAACTAACTTTTACTGTTAATAGTCATCTACAATTTAGTTTAATGAAAAACCAGAGGCAGTGTGGAAATTTAACACATTTTCATAATTTTTTATTATTTTCACCTAACTTATTTTTTACTTTAAATTTATTTATTTATATACATCTTTTAATTCATATTTTAAAAAGTGACTTAGTCAGACTAAAAATTGGAGTGAGTTTGTTAACAAAAATAAACAAGAAAAACTAGAGACGTGAAAAATGAATGTATGATAAAAAGGTGAATCTATTGGTAGAGAATAAAAAAGGAAGGGTATTTGATTGAGACAAAGGAATAAATCCACACACGGTTAAAGTAAGGTTAAGGAAAGAATTAATCCTTATATAAGAATATAATTCAAAAAGTATTTTAATATTGTTACAAGTGTGGTTTATTTTGATTTGGTTTGATTTTAATAATAAGAATTAAAAATTAAACCAGAATACAATTAAAAAAATGTTTTTTTTATTCTTTTGGTTATCAATTTAATTAATTTTAATTTTTTTGGCAATTTAATTTAATTTTAAACGTAGCCTATAACTTATATTTAGTGGATTTATCCAGCAAAGTGAGATTAGGCCAATATTAGTTAAACATGGTATGGCAAAGTTTTTGAGTGAAAAATGTCTTTATTAGGTAACGATATTCTTTTTAATTAATAAAATTTATTTGTATGTTCTTTTTCTTTAGAATTTAAAATTTTAAAGAAAATAATTATATAGTCAAAATCTATTTGACTCTCAATACAGTCGAGGAATAATATGAAAATTTAGAAGGGAGAAAGCAATCATGTGAAAAATATATATTAAAGAAAAAAAAAATCCTAGGGGAACGACTGCCCCTATTTTATTAAACCTAATTCCATCTTTGATCCATGATAACAATTAAAACTTGATTGTATAACGATTATAATTTTTTTAAGAATTAATATTTTAAATTTTTTTCATAATAAAAAGGATTATTTTTTAACTTTTGATAATGGTCTCTTGAAAGCAATGAAACATTTGTGATATTCCTGTAATTACGTTTCACTCCTTTCTTTCATAATTTTTGGCATTAACCGTTTCTTGCTTTTTTACTTGTTCTAATTATCCTTTCTAATATTTCTAATATTGAGTCTCTTTTCTATATTGTGGCATACTCAAATTAGCCTGTTTGTGATATTGTCTTCTTTGTCACATTCGCACCCCATTGTTAAAACAAACTTGATTACACTTACATCGAAGCATTAATTAAGATGGTAAATAAATTGTGTGTTCCTGTCCTGAATTAACAACTTGTGCTAATTATAATATCTATATATATATCCTTGATATTTGGTTACCTTTGCCCATTCAATTTATTTTATTCTTTAGTTTTTGAGTTTCTTTTTCATTTGATTGAGTTAGAGCAATGAATTTGAATGCAAATGAGACGTTATTTGATGTAGTTGTCTACCTCAATTCATCTGGTAATCATGCAACCCATACCGTTTGCCTTCATACTCCACCGCATGTTATATCTGATGGCTTATGGGGAGGACATAGCACAGAAGGGTCACTATCAAGGTCTTCCTTCCCAATATTCCTCCTTCAAGTCATTGTAATTTACGTTATAACACGACTTTTAAATTTCCCTGTGAAGATCTTGGGTTTACCTATGATCATTTCACAAATGATGGTAAGCTCCCTCTCCAATACATATATGCGTATGCTTTAGATAAAAGAGATGTTTAAAGGATTGATCTATTTTCAAGATAGTTATTAGAATCTTAGGTCATTTAGTAAGTAAGAAAATTAACATAGAGCAAATAATATGAATATTACTGATATGCGTTTAATAAGTTATTGGTCTTAATTCTTATGTTGTTTAATTTGCTCCTTCTCAGGAATGTTTATTTTGGATCTAAAGTTGTAGTGCTAATTATCTTTAAGTTGAATTGGTATAGAACTTCTAGAATAGATTACTTAACTATTTGAAGCACCTTTTTGCGAATAGTGCGAGTTAGGCTAAAAAAAGTTTGAATCTAATTTAACCTAATGAAAATAATGTCAAAATCTAACAAAATTTGATATTTTGACTTTTTTTAAGCTTAATTCATATTGAACTTGATAAAATTAAGTAAAAAAAAAAAAGACTCAAATTTAATTTGAACTCAATTTAAAATTCAAATATTACATTACATCTGTATTGGTCTAATAAAGTAGTGAACTTATTTTGTTGGCTCTATTGGTGCATGCTTGGTTTAACTTATTTAAAAAATAATAACTCCATTTTAAAGTTTTGTTAAAGTTTTTTTTTTTACATAAACAATTATTTTTCTTAAATAAACTTTTTCAAACATGAACTTAGGTTGAAGATAATTGTGATGCCTAACAAAAGTTGTTCGTGTTTGAAGGTTGGACTGATTCTAGGACCATCGCTGAAGGTCTTGGAGAAAGACAAGATGAAGTTGTTTCCTTTTGGAAGTCAAGACACACTTGCTACAATAACATCCCTTGGTTATATACTATTTGTCTTTGAGACTGGTGTAAAAATGGATTTTAATATGATCAGAAAATCAGGAAAGATGGGATGGATCATTGCCCTTTTAGGGTTAGCAATACCTCTAGTAATTTGTGATACATCTCGGCACTACTTTGTTGCTTCATATTTACAAGCAAGTTATAATGATGGAGGCCAAGAAACTCTTGTTATATTGATAACACAAAATATAACTTCATTTGCAGTGATTGCTTCCATCCTTAATGACCTTCAAATCTTAAACTCTGAACTTGGAAGATTGACAATGTCTTGTGCACTAGTGAGTGACATGTTGGGTTACACACTTGTATTGATATCCTCAATCTTGGACAAACATAGTGACATAGGAACACGTGGGATAAGAATGGGGTTTTTATTTGCATTGGTCATCATCATTTTCTTTGTCTATCGTCCTGCAATGTTTTGGGTCATTGATCAAACGTCAGAAAAACAAGAAGTGAAGGATATTTACCTCAATATGATTATTGGGGCTCTCTTTACTTTGGGTTGGTTTTCAGTGATATTGAAACAAGAAATCATCCTTCTACCATTCATTTTTGGATTGGCTACTCCTGAAGGACCTCCGTTAGGATCTTCATTGGTCAAAAGGATTCATGTTTTTGGCACAGAATTTCTTTTACCCATCTTCTTGACTACATGTGCAATGAAAGCGAATCTTTACTCACTGGACTTCTCATCAGCCGCAGTTAGAGTTGCAATCTTTATTGCGCTTTTGGGTTATCTAGCCAAAATGCTAACATGTTTTGCATCTTCACTCTATTTCAAGTTGCCAGTAAGGGATGCTCTCGCTCTTGCCCTTCTTTTGAACTCCAAAGGTGTTGTGGAAGTAAGCATGTATAGCTCTGCATTGGACAAACATGTACTACTCTCTCTCTCTCTCTCTCTCTCTATATATATATATATATATATATATATATATATATATATATATATATAGTCAAGATTCAAAGATTTATGAAGTTACATTTACTTTAAAAAGTCATTTGAATTTTACGAAAAACTCATGATTTATGAGATTTTTAATCTTAACCATTTATGATATGATTTAATTTTGAAAATTTGTTCATTTAACCCACACACACATGAAACATATTAGGTGAGAGATGATAGGATGAGAGATATTAATCTTGGCCATTCATGCAAAATTGATTGGACTAGATTAAGTCTTCTAACTTTCTATTCGCTTTCACTGGATGTGTTTCTTATATTTATGGTTAAATAGTTGAGCAAATTTTATCTTCTCTTATCCATTACTGATAAAAAAAAAACTTGTGCAGGACATCCATCCTGAAACTTTTACCGTGATTATAATAATAATCATGATAACAAGCTGCATTGTGCACCTATTGGTGAAACGTTTGTATGATCCTTCAAGGAAATATGCTGGATACCAAAAACGGAACATTTTTGATTTGAAGCCCAACTCAGATCTTCGGATACTAGTTTGCATTCATAAACAACATCATACGATTCCCATCATTAGAGCCCTTGATCTATGCTACCCCACAACAGAAGCCCTTGTCATTGTAGATACATTGCATCTAATTGAACTAGTTGGTCGCTCCACCCCAATTTTCATTTCTCATAGGAAGAAGAAAGTTGATAACTCTTGCATTCAAAACTCCTATTCTGAGAATGTCATCCTTTCTTTCAAACTCTATGAAGATGAAAAAGAAGGTGCAATAACAATAAACCCCTACACAGCCATATCACCACCTAGAATGATGCATGGGGATGTGTGCAACCTTGCATTGGACAAAGTTGCATCAATCATTATTCTTCCATTTCATAGAATATGGTCCATTGATGGCAAAATTGAACATGAGGATAAGAATATAAGGTCTCTAAATTGTAAGGTCATGGAAAGGGCCCCATGCTCAGTTGGAATCTTAGTGAGCCGTTCAGTTCATCAAAGTGATTCACCACTTAGATTAGCCATGATCTTTTTGGGGGGAAATGATGATAGAGAGGCTTTGTGCATAGCTAATAGAGCAGCCAAAGACCCTAGCATTAACCTTGTGATATATCACATTACACCCAAGAATACGAATGAACATGAAGAACTTGAAGATAGTGCACTTGACATGGCAATGCTAAATGATACCAAGAACAAACACTCTCATTTGGAAAATGTTAGTCACAAAGAAATAGAAGTGGAGGGTGGACCTCAAATTGCTTCTATTCTTCGCCAAATGGTAGAAGATCATGACTTTTTCATAGTTGGGAGACGACATGGCATTGATGGTCCTCAAACAAAAGGGCTTCAAGAATGGAGTGAGTTTTCTGAGTTAGGTTTGATTGGAGATTATCTTGCTTCAGCAGATCTTGATTGTAATTCATCTATTTTGGTGGTGCAACAACAAGAACAATTTTCTTAGTAGTGGTAAACATTTTAGATGCATGAAAAAAGATCAATTTGCTTCTTGTGTTTCCAAATTATGTCATGCTGTACAAGTGTTACAAGACTATGGTTGTACTGTCTTTCATTTTTACACAGTTCAACATGAATGTAAATCTTGATTTCACTTTTTTCTTGCCTTTTCTTTTGTTGTTCTAAATTTATACCATTTTAGAATCACGGTGATTTAAGTTATATAAGATTCAAGAAATACAAACAAAGACTTAAAACGTAATTATAACGTCATATAAAAATGTATTATTTTCATATATCATATAGTATAGACCATCTTTTATAAGTGAATCAGATACTAAAATAAAAAAACAACTTTATAAATTGATTTTATTTACTTTTTACAAATAACAAACAATACTACATTTAGCCTTTATATGCTTTTTATAAGCATAATAGGGAGACCCACATGTTAAAGCTTAATGCCTCAACTAATGAAGTTTTTATTCTTGTTTTCACTAGGAACACATTTTTCAAGTTTTATTATTAAAAAAATAAAATCTGAAATACAAATACATTTTGAAAACGAAAGAATTAGTGCACATAACTTGGGCTCGGGCCACAAAACCCAGGCCCACTTTTTGTTTAGAAAAGGTTTTGTTGTTCATTTTGCAATACAAAAAATGAAATGGAGCCGAATCCAAACGCGGCCTCCATGCTGAGAAGCAGAAGTATATTACCTCCTCCACCATTGCTTGCTCTGAGTAGAAGGCTACCGTCATCTTCACCGTCACTGTTATCGTCGCCGTTATCGTCACCGTCATCTTCCATCACCCACTCCAGAAACCCTAAATCCTCATTCCACCGATTTCCTCTCTTCTCCAACTCTCACATTTTCCAAACCATGACGCTTTCCAAGTGCTTCTCTCACGTGGGACCCACCATTCCCATATCGGGTAAACCCGAATCCGAATCCGAATCCGAATCCCCTCTCTCTCTCGTTGTGGTTTCCTTCTACAAGTTCGCGGATTTCCCTGACCATGCCCTAATGCGAAACCCCTTGAAGCAACTCTGTCAACAGCTGGTACTCATTTTCTCCATTCACTTTTAAGTTTTAATAAATAACGAAATTAAATATTTAATAATACAAAATATCTCAGTGCTTGCAATTTAGCAAAATTAGTTCATGCCTGAAACTTTTCTACATTAATTTTTTTGTTTGTTTAGGATTTTAATTTACATTATTATGTCACATATTCTCATCCAAATGCACGTCAGCTTCATAATTGGAATGAGTTTCGTTTTGCAAAATTTTTCTCTTGCTTGGTTTGTTGAGATGTTGTGTCTCACTCATCTGATGCGACTCAGCGTGTTTCAGGTGGAATTATTCTTGCGGCTGAAGGGATCAATGGCAGCATATGTGGCACTCGGGAGTCCGTGGAGAGAGTTCTTGAGTTTGTGCAAAGTGATGATCGTTTGACGGGGCTGAGACGTATGGAATCGCCGGTTAGTCTTGAGGAGGAGGCCATCCATCATGGACATAGCGCCGCTTCTCCCCTTGCCGCCGGGGAGGATGCGCCCTTCCGATGGGATCATGTGAGGGTCAAGTTGAAGAAAGAGGTAGCATTCGTGATGACAAAAGACTGGACTGCTTTGTTAATGTTAACGTTGATGATGTTGTGTGCAATTAGGTTGAATTTTTGTGGTGTTTTGGTTCTCATGGTTTTTGTTATTTGTTGGCAGATTGTCACTCTTGGGATGCCAACTGTGTCGCCTACTGAAAGGGTTGGAAAGTATGTTGGCCCAAAAGATTGGAATGCTTTGATTAGTGATCCAGATGTAGTGAGTAGCTAACTTCTTACTATCGTTGGTCACTATCTCTATCATGAGCTCTGTATTTTATGTGATCTTATAAGGTGCAGGGACATGATATGTTAAACATTATTGCTTAATTTTTTTTTATCTCCATGAGGATATTTAATATTCGATGTGCTCCAAGTCTATACATTCCATAGTAGTCAATAGTGGTGCTATCATGGCGGTGCGGAGCATCGTGAATAGTGGCTGCTATCGCAGAAAATCACAGCTGTCGCAGCTGCCATCTGATGCCGGACGCAAATGTCAAATTTACCCTCATTTTCTGAATGTTAGAAGGCTTTTTTTATCACCATCTCCGACAAAAGCTTCTGCTTTGTCCAGCAAGCTTCATAATAGCATTGCATTTTAATCTGTTTGCCTGCTGTTACTGGGGCAAATCTATAATGCTGATTTAGACCAAGTTTTCTAGCTAAAAGGGGGAGTAACACTTGTAATGTAAGAACATATTTAAATGTTTTTGTGATAAAAAATATATATTTCTGGTTATCTATTCATCCTTTTTTTAGAAAAAGATATGCTGAGAATTTGTGGATTTTTTACTCTTTCCAAGTTGTGATTTCTGATTATCACTGTCATATGTAATGATTGCAAATTGTTTATGCTTTGTGTGGTTGAATAAAAGTTTAGCTAATTCATTTTTCATGTACATGATAGAGAACTGCAGTAGATATTTTCACATAGATCAAGTTGGGAAGGGGGAGACATCATGTTGGTACTGTATATACCAGAGATGCAGAATATTTATTGTTGCTGACATCTTCATGTGCAGGTGGTAATTGATGTGCGGAATAACTATGAAACCAGAATAGGAAAGTTTAAAGGAGCAGTTGATCCTTGTACTACATCATTTCGTGAATTCCCATCTTGGGTGGAGGATCATTTCCAGCATACTGGAACAGATGGTGGAGTCCATCCAAAAGTTGAGCCAAACAACTCAGTAAGAAATGATGAAAAAGAAATAGAGGATTCAAAACAATGTATGCCGCGGGTTGCAATGTATTGTACCGGAGGTATTCGATGTGAGAAAGCTTCAAGTCTACTTCTCAGCAAAGGTTTCAAAGAGGTGATTTCCCTCTTAAATTTTATTGTTTTGCACAAAGTTCTTTGAAAATGTTATTATCAAAGAAAAATAGACATAATTTTCTTTAACAATTCTTGGACAAGAGATATTAATATCTCAAGGGGATTTCTAGTTTGGAACTCAATGTCAATGCTATAAGACACAGTAAGACCTATCAAATACTTAAAAGGGAAGAATTGATGTTAGTGTTATATTTATATTTGAGGTCTTGCCAAATATACTGATGTGATAACATGATAAATTTTAGTCTCTTTCAATAAGCTTATGCAGTTCTGGTGCATGTTGGGAAGGAAGCAATTTCACAGATTTTATGTTCATAATAACATCTTTCTATGAAAAAAAAAAATCTGAAGTGATTTTAAATTATTCTGGCCCATCCATCTGCTTTGCTGTTTGCTAGTCTTTATGTTAAACCACTATGCTTTTTATATGTGATTAAAGTATTCATCTTATATCATACACATATTCTTCCTGAGATTTTAAAAACAAGTTAATAGTAATATTGCTGCTAGTATGAATGAGTTTTGCTGGTTGTAGTTGCAATTTATTTACTTGAATATGATATCATATATCTTTTTAAAAACTTCCTAGGTTTATCACCTGGAAGGTGGAATTCTGAAATATCTTGAGGAGGTTCCAGAAACAGAAAGCCTCTGGGAAGGAGAGTGTTTTGTTTTCGACAAACGGGTCTCTGTTGAGCATGGTTTAGTGCAAGGAAATTTCAAGCTCTGCTATGGTTGTAAGCAGCCTGTGAGTGATGCTGACATGGAAGCCCCAGAATTTGAATATGGTGTCTCGTGTCCTCACTGTTTTTCGCTGAAATCAGAAGAAGAGAAGGAAAGGGCTCGAGCCCGGCAAAGACAATTTGAGAGGTGGGGAATCATCGGCGGTCCTGATAAGGGTCGCCGGCCAACTCCGGATGGTGTTGACAGGGAACCAAACCAGCTTTCCCGTTCGGTTTAACCAGTCAGAGAGAAAAAAATGAGAAAACATCATTCATATATATTTTAAACAAATGTTTGGCCTTCTCTTATACTTTCCTCTTGGATGTGTTCGGAGTGCACGAAACTATAGATGTACGTTTAAACTTTAACTATGATTTCTGGTCTTAGGAACCATTTGGTGTCTAGTCTCTTGAGAAAGGTCACCACTTTTTGACATTCTATGTGTATTACTGTATTGTAACCAAGAGCAATGCTAGCTAGCAAGCAATTTATTCTACCATTTTTAACCCTTCTATGGTTAAGTGAAATGTCACATCGTGTTTAAAGGGGCTTGAATAATGTTTCTAGGAATCTTCTGTTGATTGTAACCAATTTGTCTTATGCAAATTCTTCCATTGCATGTTATTAAGGCATAGCAAGAGGAGACTTTTTGTAAAAAAAAGTGAAGATAGCCCAAGAAAATCTTATAGGAGGTTATTAATTTTTGAGAATTTAATCAAATTAATAGCAAATGTAAGTGATTTCACCTAGTTAATTGCATGTGCTACAGAAAAACTAGATTTTTCGTTTATTATAAAATCTAATAATCAAAGTTACAATTTGTATAACAATAAGAATGTTTTAAAAAATTTCACAAATTCTGCGCGCATTCGTGATGTCTTGCCCACAAATATTATTGATCCTATCTAAGAGGGCACAGGAAATTTATTCCGGCTTGTGCATGTGTTTGAGATGGTTTGGGCTTGAATACTATTCTAGGCCTAATTTAAATAAATTTCTTAACAAGTTTTTATAGAAATCACAAATTAAATAGTAAAATAAACAATTTTTTCATAAATTAAAATTAACTTATTTTTTTAGAAGCTTAAAATTATTATGAAATTTTTTTTCTCAAATTTTATATTAATTTTCGATTTGTCAAGAAGTTAAAATAACTTGGGACTAACATAATTAGCATATCACTTTTGTAATCAGATTATTTAAAATAATTACTAGCAAAATCTGTTAATTAAGTTATTTTGAATTTAGGTTCCACAGCCTCAGTTCCTATCTGGGTACCCATCTAATTTTCATCTGTAACTATAAACCATCATCATTATTATCGTTTACATAATCGCAATGCTCATTGTTTTCAGGTAGAATCGCAAACTGTATGTGAATATGTGAGAATTGTACGAAGCAGTGAAGAAGGAAGAGAATGAATGTAAAATGTGATGCGAGACAATAAAGGAAATGCTCCAAGAAGCTTTATGTTCTAAAGAGTTTGATGAAACTGGTTTGGATTATATAGCTTGGTATTTTTTCAATATTCATCAAGCAAATAAAGACACAACATAAGAAGCTCCGAGAACTATTTTACTCTTGTTATGTATCAAAACATCAAAATTCCATGATACAAATTGATCACTGTTTATTTCAAACACAAAGATGAAGTCAAAATCAAATAAAAAAGTTACTTCCTTCGATTATTGAGTTAAAACATCATTGTTGAGTTCCTTCATGGCTTGGAACACTTGAGAGCTTCTATCAAATATCTGAGCCCTTCGGTTGTAATCAGTAGGTTCTTTTCCCACATCATCACCCATTATTGCTTCCCTTTCCAAACACTCCAACAGTTCCACAACCCCTTCTCTTTCTCCACATTTGTGTCTAAACCTTCCCATTCCATTCTTACCCTTTTCCTCATTTTCTTGTTTTTTCATCTCAGCCTTGAATTCTCTTTCCAAACCCCAACTTGCACATCCCACCACAAATTCATTACTACCCTTTTGCCGCTTCACAACACAAGATGAATGGTTTGGCCAAAAAAGGCTAACCTTGAAGTTCAAACCTCTAAACTTGGAATCCAGTGGCACTTTCACATTACTAGGAGAGACATGGCTTTGACATTGAATAAAAGGGTGATTAAGATTGCTCATTGAAAGAGAAGTTGGTAATTTGTGGGTATTATCCGCAACATGCAAAGATCCTTTCATGTCTAAGGACTTTTAAATGAATTGTGTGATCCGTGAATAAGTTTGTGTCCATATATATACACACACAGACACACACGAGGTTAGGAGCAGAGTGATGGTGACAAACTTGTCCACGTTTCAGTTGCATGGTAAAGACATATACGTGGCACGTTTCTAGCATGGTAACATAGATTTCGAGTTCTTTGGAGAATGTCTTTGGAAACAGCACTTGGCGTTGGCAAGGAATAAAGAGGGCACGTGGTGAAAAGAGTGATGGCTACGAATCTGCTTTTATAAAAGACAAAACTTGATACAGTTTCTTAAATATTTATAATGTTACTTAATTTAAGTGATACGTGTTGTTTTTTAATATATAAAAGAAAACTATTTTTTAAATTATAAATATTTTTTATTTGAATGATATTATCTCTTCTAAAATGTTTTTATAATCTAAAAAGAATATCTCTAATTTAATTTACAACATTGTCTGAATTAAATTTTAAAAAATATATTTTTTAACTGTCATTTAAAATATAATTTAAAGCGATCATGATATGACACAAATAATAATTAATTTATTGAATAATTAATTTTTTATAAGTAATTAAATTAGTTAAATAAATTATTAATCAATTTATAATTACCCATGTATATATAAGTAAATAATTCAGTTTTTTCAATTTATTAATACTTTTTGTGATCCTTTTTATAAGACACATTTAATCAAATTATAAAGACTAATAAAAATAGTTAAAATTAGTAAATTTTTTTAAATTATTAAAAAAATTATAACATAACAATTTTATCTTCATTTAATACTTTATATCTAATCTCACTGTCAAATTCTAATTTAGGTCCCACCAACTCTATTTATTAAGACAAAAAATATAACAAATATTTTATAAAAACTATAAAGTACCATAAAAAAAATCACTAAAAACTTCTAAAATATACCAAACTAGGAGTAGTGTACATTAGTTGACCGTAGGAAAAATAGGCATACCTATACGTTGAAAGCATATCTTCGTAAAACGTGCCAGTCCCAACCATAAAAATTGTGACAAATTATGAGAAGTTTATTACAAATATATTCATAAACATTAGAAAATGACCATTGGGATTGAATGAATGAACTACACCTTGTTGCAGTTAATTTTAACTGATATGGATGCTTTTCCTCTTATTTAATTAAACAGTTTTTTTAAAATCAGTGAAATATTTATAAGTAAATTTTTTTTATTAAAAAATATTTACTACAATTTTATATTTTCCATGCAAAATAACAGTAAAATTAATATTAATATTATTTTTTAAATTTAAATGGTAAGGTACGAGGTTTATCACGAGAGAGAGAGAGAGAGAGAGATCTCACTCAAAGGATTAATATGTATATATTATACAGATCTCAGCTCAAAACTGAATAGTCATACTTATATCTAATCAATGTACAAGAATAAATAAATTTCTAGATATTAGACAATAGAATTTTGGTTAGAAGAATCTACGGTTGAAAGTTTATTGCTCTGCAAATCCTCTAGTTTCCTAAAATTATTGCACTTGTGTATAGTAGCATCTCTGGAATGTAACCCCATATATGGAAGGAAGAGAAAAGAAAAATCATGTCCTTTGTTCACTAAGTCTCCTCTCAGCAGCAATAGCAGCGGCCATTGTTGGTGGCAAGTGTCTTAGATCTGTATTTGTATTAGGATTTTCATCACTTTCTGGCATAGTTAGTGGTGCTCTAGAGAGTAAGGCTTCCACATCCTTCAGGGTCAAAACAGGTTGATCTTGATTCTTAGTATTCCCACTAATGAATGAATGATTGCTCCTGCTTCTGTTCAATTTATATATGCTCTCTTCAACAGTATCTCTTACCTAACACATGCATCAGCAAGATTACAAGGATAATTCTTCATGAATCAACTTATTTGTAAGAAATAAGGGTTAAGTATATTTTTAATTCCTACGTTTTTGCGAAATTTTAATTTTAGTTCTTTAATTGTTTTGTTTGATTTTTGCTCCCTGATTTTTTCAAATCTAGCACTTTTATACCCTAATGACAATGTGGCTAATTAAGAAGCTGCCATGTTAGTTTTATTTTAAACTTTTAAACCACGTCATCATTAGGGACCAGAAGTGATAAATTTAGAAAAATCAAAAGACTAAAACCAAACCAAAAAATTTAGAGGGACTAAAATCAAAATCTTAAAAAAATGTAATGACTAAAAACATATTTAAGGCATAAATTTAATTGTAAGACAAACTTAGTCGAGAAGCAAGTAGAGAGACAAGCATGATTAACTAATCAATGGAACTGCTGAATTCATAAGCACTCACAAATATCATATGATATGAAGCAAGGAACATGAATGAGATTAAAGACAGTGACAACTAAAATCAAAACATTGGAAGCAACACAAGTATGAGCATATTAGTAAGTTACAACTTTTGGTTTGTTAAAATACTTCCGGTTGTATCTTGCTAAAATACTCAAAAAAAAATAAAAATGAGAGAGAATGTTAGCACTTATGGAAACTTACAATGAAACGATGAATAAGGGTCTTATTTTTTTGTCCAATTCGATGTACACGGCTGATTGCTTGTGCTTCAGCAGCAGGATTGAGTAATGGCTCTACAAGGACCACATGCTGTGCTTCCAAAAGATTGAGGCCATTGGCTCCATGTTGGATTAAAAGCAATAACACCTGAATAGATTGTGGTGTTGACTCCTCACATCCTTTTGTGCCATTCTGTATTCCTCTAAATTGACTGATGGCAACATGTGCTTTTCTGAACTCACAAATTCATAACCAAAATCAGTATATGAAGTTGAAATTGGCTGAATTTCTAAGATGTAGAAGCCTACATGGCTCCATAAGAAATGATCCTGAACCAAATTTATGGACTATATATTGTTGAAAACAGAATAACCAGCATTTGATTTCAACTTCTGATTTGTCTGTCACCCCTAACATTTCAACTTTTTCACTCCGGGGTTTTATATTCATAAATTCACTTCAACTTGTTCCCTCCATTTATGTGTTAAATTTTACTTCAAAAAAGTGAAGATATGCACTAAAAAATGATGTGGCACCGCTATCCAAATTTCTTACATAAGCATAGCATTTGAACAATTTAGTCTCTAACATTTAAGTCTTTGGTCCTTGACATTTGACCTGAGTGCTTATGCATCTATTCTATTACACCCAAAGGAGACAAGTAAAAAGAAAACCAAAAAGCATTTATTAAGTCCCTTCTCAAACAGTATAACAAACTGGATTTCATTTCTATGGAAGACTCACCATGTGTACAACGATGTAAACATGAACGAAAAGCTATATAAACTGAAAGAATAAATATTTCCTTGGATCAGAATTTTGAAATTTATTAGACCCAATAACCTGAAAAATGCCACTTGATCTCCTCTGTGTTTTGCTTATAGAGAGCATACAAAATACTAGATGTGGATTAATCTATCAGTAGGACCAAATACCCATTGTCCACTCAACAAATAAGAAAATTCTTACAAATGAAAACGTAGTGTATGTATTAGGATGAGACAAAAACATAACATATAAGTTCTGTTTATGTTTGGTGCATTTTAAAAATAGGGTTTTGTCTCAGCCCGTAAGGCTGAATTGAAGTATCTACAAGTAATAAGTTTTTAACTTTTTATTGGAAAAGAACACATTCACTTATTAAAGTTATAAAAGTGCAATAACTGCATCATTTTTTAATAAAATATTACTATTATTAGGTGATTAAACTTAGCTCTAAGGGATGAGGTTAACATTTTTCTTAAAAATATAAGAGTACTGGATATTTAGTTAAAATGTGGTATATTTTGGTTCCACTAAAAATGTGGAACCAATGAGAAGAAATCAGGATAAAATCATCCCATTTTATTTTATTTTGTCTGGGTGTCAAATGCTATCAAAGAAATTCCCGAATTTTATAACCCCATAATCACTGGTAGTACTCAAATACCGATAATCATCAAGAAAGTGTGCTTTTTATTCAAATTTAATTCACCAGTAATTCAGAGTAATTCCCAAGCATGGTAACAAGATTAATATGTGATTTTCAGAGAGAGGAGAATATTAGACTTGGTGTATATAAACAAAGGTGTTATGTCAAGGAATTTGCTAAATCCCACAAATATGTTTAATTAGGGTTTAAAATTTAATGGTTGTCAGATTCTAAATGTAATATTGAGTGCTACATTATACCTATGATGACACATCATTACTTCCACTAGGTGATTAATGGAAACATAAGACAGAGGGATCAAATTGAAGTGAATTATGAATTGAGGGACCAAAGCGAGAAAGTTAAAAAGTTAGGAACAAATTGAGAAAGAAATCAAATGTGTGGGACCACAATAGGATCTTAGTCATGATCTTTTCTCTGCCTATCCTGTATCTTTTTTTAGTCTCCAAATGATTGTCTAATAGCCCAGCATAAATCCACAAATAAATAGAGAAATAGTAAGTGCATCAGATTACCATACCTGCCCCCCTTCATCCGGATGTAGGTGATGTTATTGGCGGCAAAGGCATGTTCCAATACATCAAGTACATCATTCCAACTTGAAAATACAAGAACTTTGGCTTTATGATCAGTAGCCTTTACCCACAAGATTCTTCTTGTGACTGCTTCAATCTTAGTTCCATATGAGCCTTTAACAGTAATGGATGCTTCACATTTTTCACTGCTGTCAATTGTATGCAGCGTTGAAGGATTGGAAGATTCATTTTGTGCATCAACAGCATAAGCAATGTTTCCAAAATCAGTATGCTGTCGACATGTGGGGCACATCACCCAATTATGAAGCTTGCTATTTTGAAGTCTTTGTTCAGTCATAGCAAATAAACCTGTATAAAATAGATGCACATTATGTTTCATATAACATTTATTTAATTGTCAATAATTGCTTAAGCATATGTCTGTTGAACACGCATGGATGACAGTAACAATAAAAGAGTACACACTATGCATACTGGTACTGTTTCTATAATTGG